TATATATATATATATATATATATGCATCAACGAAGAGAAAATGTATGTGTCGGCGACACAGCTAGTCTGTATCGAAAGTCTTCAGTGTAGTAGCTAAATAATTAACGACCTTTTTTCTTTTCTTTTTTTACTTCTTTAAAATCAAATTCTCAGATTCATCTGGCAGGCCAAAAATTATTGTCGGCGGGCCAATTTTGGCCCGCGGGCGAGGTTTGCAATGCCTGCTCTAAGCAGTCGTTCATGACACTTGTGCAGTTTCAAATTTTCTGGTATCACCGATGCTCTTTAATGAAATTTGCTACTGTGTTGAATCAATTCGATAATAATAGGTGATAAGCACGGGTGGTGTCACCTACAAGAACGAACCTTGGCATCGGGAATGCTTTTGTTGTACAAACTGCAATACGTCATTAGCTGGACAGAGATTCACATCGAAAGACGATAAACCTTATTGTGCCAATTGCTATGGTGAACTGTTTGCAAAACGCTGCAATGCATGTGTTAAACCTATCACCGGTTTGTTATTTTTCATCTGATTTGAGAAAGTTCATTCGAGAAATTCTGCTATCATTCCCTGGTCATAGCCTTCCGAAACAAAAAAATTGCATTCTCGAAGCCTTTGAATTGAGGTTTGTTATTGATATTTGCTTATTCCACGAGCGGATGATCTATCCTTCATAATTGCAGAGTTGCATTGATAAAAATTTATGTTTCTGTCAACTTTAACATATTGAATATCGAAGTATATTATAAACGAATCATAAGTACAGGTATTGGTGGTGCAAAATTCATTTCATTCGAAGATCGTCATTGGCATAATGATTGCTTCATATGTGCACAATGTTCAACGTCATTGGTTGGTAAAGGCTTTATTACTGATGGTGCAGACATTCTGTGTCCTGAATGTGCTAAGGCCAGGCTCATGGCTGCCAATTCCTAAATGCGTTCACTAGTTCTCGCCCAGTGCTCTTTCCCCATTTCTCTACGCAACCAACCCAAGCGCATCAGTCACAATGCAAGGTAATTTAATTAATTCATCAGTCGTTTTGCATTGTCTCGAATGATTTAGATTTTTATAATTCCTTCTCCCCACTTACTGCATTGTTTAGAAACTCGCTCATAATCAGTTCTTTTGGTTTCATTTACCCCTTACTGCATTTGAGCACTACATCCCTCTATAGCATTAACATAATTCGTTAATTTCGAGAACAAATCTATCACCTCCGAATATAAATGTGGTTTTTTGGGTAAACTTGACTACTAAATTAGATTGATCAAAAACTGATTGGAGATTGATTGGCATTTAACCGATGAATCGAAGTTAGTCAACATGCTATATCCTTTATTCGCTGATGTGAGTATTCAATTTTCACAAAAATCACAAGCGCTTATTAAATTTTCATTACACTTTATTCACGTATCGTTTATATTCACCATTTATTGGGGATGAATTCGGAGTTGTTTTTTGATGATTTTGGTTTTTCAATTATGAATGAAATTCATCCGAATTATACAGATAAAAGATTACTTTGTAACCGCGAATCATTCTGATGGGTGGATTGAACCAATTGAATGTTGACTCAATGGATTACTCGCTAACATATAATATTTCCATTGATAATGCACAATTATTTATTTATTCATTCATCTGATTCCGTTTGTGTGCTGCTTATTGCGAGTCGTTCGATATTTAATAAATATGCACTCTGAATTACAATTCGTATTGTTTAATGCATCTTTCATGATCACTCATAGACATCAGTTTGTACAATAGTTGTGCGCAGTATTTGTTAGCGTTCCATATTTGCCTATCAGTCGCTTCATGTTTCATTTTCCTTCATCTCTTTTTCTCAACGCAACGATCCGAACGTCTGAAGACGTCGTTCTTGTTTCAAACTCCCATTCATAGCTTTTATCGAATTGAGATCTTGTTTCTATGCGCTTTCGTTTAATTTGTCTTGTGGGATCGGCTAATGTCACTATGAACTAATGTCGATGATAGCATTCGGCAGTTCAGTATAAGCTGCGATTGTGTACATTCAGTTATAGTCTCGACGGGAAGTTCATGTACTTTGTTGCATCTAATTGTAAGCTCGGCTTTCAGCTCTTCGTGACTGTTCAGAGCATTCCAACAGTTAAATGAACATCGTCGAATGCTTGTTTTGGTATCATTCGAAGTGCAAATGAGTTGATATTTGCAAATTTGCATCAAAATATGTATTTGTTGAATGCATTCATGTAATCGTCCCACTAATTATTCACAAAATTTTTGTTGCCATTTCGGTCTCATTGCAAGCATATTAACTTCACAATTGAATGTCGCAAAATGAATGCTGCCAGCGAATCCAGTCCAGTCGTTTGCATTATTCCGTTTGTTGAACAAGTCTGTTTTGATGTCAAGGATCTGCGCTGTTTATTAATAACAATATTATTATGACACTAATTAATATTTATTAATTGAAAGAATAAAAATAATTGAATGTTGGTATAATTGGATATTGTTTTTATATCATGGCAGTTGAAGGATCACCTCAATGAATGCACATCATGAAAATGACTATAATAATAAGCATAAATAGTGGTTTAGAAATGAGCAATCCTCCGTGATCAGACATTGCGGTGAAGTCGTATACTTTTTAAGGAATGAACGTGTCTTTAACAACAAATGGTTAACTTTGTGCAGTAACATTAAAATAGTGTGTTAGGTAGTACTCGATTGATGCCAGTCAAGTTCTATTTCGACTGTATTCAACAAATAACGGCGGTGAGCAAGATCGATAAAGATGCCGTAATCGGGGGAAGGGGAAGGGTCGAACATGTGGTCAACGGGCACCATCTGTAATAACAGCTAGCCGTTCGTATTTATTTATTAGTTATACATAAACTGAGACAAAAAGGAACAGCAACATGGTTGTTGCGCAAATTGTAATAATTAAAATCAGGTCAAATGGACATTTACAATAAATTGAATGAACCTAGCTATTACCTTGAAGTGACGAAACTGAAGCACCGTAATATAATTTGGAGCGGTGCACGTATGTTTTGAAAAGTTACGATAATGTTGATATATACGAGTGGTAAGTATCATATTGGCTCGTAGGTTTGCATCTTTAGCATCTTTTTCAATGCATTCATGGAATGAAATCTGGTGGAATAAGTCGATCTTAAATTCACGAATTAGATTAGGTAAGTTGATAACTTTGGAATAGGTGAGTTGATGACTTAGGTGACGGGGTTGTTGTGATCTGAGAAAATGGGATGTTTTTTCACTTGAAACTGCTAACAAATTTTGTTAGATCATTCAGTGATCTTGTCAATAGCCGCCTAAATGAATGATGGTTTCATACTGAAGACATCCTAACATCCTCAGCGAACATAGAACAATAACGGACATTTGATAAACAATCAGATAGGTCACTGATTTAAATGAGGAAATAAAGCGATGCACTAACAGTAGTACCTCGAGGAACACCATTTTATTAGTTTTACCGAAGTTGTGATGTTATCGATCATAACAGTCTGCTTACGAACATGCAAAAAGGAAACAACCTAATTAAACAGACATCGTTGTACGTCACAAACATGTAATTTGAACAGAAGTTTTGGCATAGAAATTGAGTGAAACACTTTTTTCAAATCAGCACATTTATGAGAATCAATTTGTATTCGTAAACAGTAATCTATTCAACATGCCAGTAGGTAATAATCTACTGTACTGATGTTTGCTTTGTTATTTCAGAGATGCTGAAGGAGGAAGATGACCGCAGCCTGCCTCTCCAGTATTTTGGACTTGCTCTCCAGTACAGTCACCGGGCCAGAAATGGCCTGGTGACTGTACTGGACAGGGGCACTTGCATGTGACGTGAGAAATAAGAAAGCCATTCCAGGAAAATTTATCATGTTTCGAGTCCAATCGATCCACTGAATTGACGACACATCCATCATTTCGAAAAATTCCGTTCTTATTTTACGTCCCATCGATTTTGTTACACTGAAATCAATTCGCCCTCCGATTTCTTAAAAAGCATTCTTAATGTGACCGCTTCCGCAAGATGGTTACCGTTGGTTGGTTAGTCATTTGAAGATTTTGGTAAGATGATTTAAGTTTCAAGAAAATGATACAGAATACCATTTCAAGTAAACCTAATAAGCTAAAAAGAATCACATTCCCAACAAGAGCTGGAAGTGCTTCGCTTTTGATTGAAAGAAACGATCTGTCATGCAGAATGAAGAGACAAGTGACAGAGGCAAAAGTTGTCATTGAAAGAGCAACAAGCAATTTACATATTCCAATTTAATTTTTCTTTTTTATAATGATTTTGTTTTTCTTATTTGTGTTATAGAAAATAGTTCAAAAAAATCATCGAAATACCGAATTGAATACAATTTTTCTGGTACACTGATTATGTCACACATGGGCATTCGCAAATTTTGACGTGATAGTTGTTATGGTGGTATTTTATTTCATGAACCGCAACGCTCCCGATCAACCGCAGGTTGGTTCCACCAGAAAGGACTCGAAGAACAGAAAGGAATGAAACAACTGATGGTTATAGAACAGAATGGAACAGTTTGCCAAAAATGTGGAACAAAAACATCACTAGCTTGGGCACACATTTTTCATAATCCCGAAACAGGTAGATATCCATAACTAACGTGAATTTTACATTCATCTCTTCACAATCATTGTCTTCTATATACTAAAACTGTCATATTGTTTTTCAATATTGATTGTTCATGCTTATTCTTTCCCGCAGATATGAAATTATTTTTGTTTGATATTCTTACTGTTGCCTCATGTTTACCACATGTGCCTACAGTGATATGCAGTGTTGGGCAATAGCGCGCTATTTCGCTATTAGCGGAATAGCGGACTTCCTTTCGATAGCGGAATAGCGACTGCGCACTATCGTTCTTCGATAGCGCGCCCAACACTGGCGATATGGTTTGCAGTTTTACACTTGTGCCATACGGAAGGTTTGCGCCAGCAGTTTGTCCCGAAAGTTTCGCCCTTGCGAGTTTCGCCGCTGGAAAATTCGCCCCTGGGTTACTTTTGACCCGAAATACTCTGCATTTACCATAAATGCTTATATTATGCATTTGTCCATGTGCATATACTACGATCAAACAACAGTCTGATGAATGGCTTTAGCTTTTGCGCAGCAAATGACATACATTACAGCCATTCAGTCAGTCACTGCATGAACAATTATGTGATATTTGATTGTAGTCAAACATTCACTGAGGATACGTGAAGCCATCCGAAATTTGAATGATCAATATATCTAATATAATCTATTCCATGAGATGATAATTGGCAATTATTTTGGACGGCACAATATTTTTCGAAGGAAGAAATAACTACATAAATGAGGTATTGACGGGAGGGGGAGGTGAGGAGGTGATTAGGCGAATCTTCATATCCCACTGTTTGCATATCTGTAATCGAACACTGTTTTCACTGGAGAAGTTCAGATTTTCAATTGTACACTTCTCTCATCTCTGTCCTGTTAGTAATTCAATTAACATTTTATCAGACTCAGCACTTCATAATCGCACTGTATTTTTGCTATCAATCATATTGTACATTGGATTTAGAGAAGTGAATTCATGAATTCGGATTTGTTATGGTTGTTAGTGCAGTATATATTTGCCACCATACATTTGATACGTTTATTATATGCTTCAGTGTTTTCGGCAGTTCGATAACGGTAAATGAATGACGAAAGAGCAAGATGGAATGTGACAGTAATTGTTGTGATTACCGTAGGTCATAATTTGGGCCGATCATTGCTTACAATTAGTAAATCGATTACTTTAGTTTCGAGTTGTGCTTATTAGCAGTTGACGTCAGTTGAAGAAACTTGTACAATAAATTTTATTCGTTATGAGTTTCGACATAAACTTTGAATATTTTAAATTATGACTTAAAGTTTTTGTGAACTTTTTATATCCACAACCAACAACAATAAGTGATGAAATACGAACACTTTTGCATACTTTTTGATGAGGAGATTGATATAAACAATCATTGCTTCGAGGACGAAAACAACTGGAAAACTTACAATATTAGGTGAGTTCTGAGAGGCTGATCTAAGGATACAACTGGTAATGTGATCATGGGAAATGAGACTGATTTTATGCAAAGGAGTCTTGATTCTCTCGACGTTTAAAAGCCAGAAATGAAACCATGATGATTTTCTGAAAGTTGCTTTCATTCGGCTTTCATAGTGTCCAGAGAAAACCAAAATCTCGCGAGAAACAATTGCTTTGCTGTTTAACTAACGAGACAATTGTGACTACTTAAGACTAGTGTTCGTCGGGGAGCAGTTTTTCGCACGGGGGGGGGGGGGGTCCCGCGGAGAGAAAAATGGACGGGAGGGGGGAGGGTTCCCACAAAAAAGCCGGGGAACGAATTGTGATAGGGGGCGTCGGGGAATGACTGCTCCCCGTGTTTCCAAATAGGGGGACGGGGGGCATTTCAGCCCAATCTTTTGAATAGAATTCTAATTTTTTGAAGATTTTTCTTCTTTCTTTAAGTAGCTTTTTTCAAAATTGTGTTTTAGCTTTTTAGATAGAATTTTCGCTCCCGATGTGCACCTTTGCGAGTGAAATGAAATCGATTTTCAATGGTAATGCTTCCACGACTACAGCTTTAAATAACATGTTGCTACTATTCAAAAACCTCACAATGTTACTTGTTCTAATTCACATTTATTGAAAAAAAAAAACCAAATGCGAATTAATATCAATAAAACGAAGACAAGAACAAATCAAACGCATCATTATCATCGTTGCTATTATCATCATGTCATTATATCAATCAAATAAAACCAAGTGCAAATCAAAATCAATAAAATAAAAACAACAACGTTGGTTTTATTCATCAGTTTTATCCTATCTTATCATCTCAAATATCGTATCACTTTTACAGTGACTCACGCCCCCAATAATCCAATACCTCAACGCGAGATTTTTGCTAGCACTGTTTTTTCTTGATCGTAATCAATCAAGTTCGTTTGTCCGTCAACTCTCAAGTAAGCCTAAGCCTTAATACAGCAAAAAACACGCTCTTAGCCCAAATACCTGAACAGCATAACCCACCAAACAGCAAAACCCGGCAGAACCGAAGAAGAGAGAATAACGAGTTCATATGAATGATCTGCTAAACACCTTATACTCACATTTCACAACAAACAACAAGACAATATTGGAAGTGTTGCAGCGGCATTCCGCTATCTTGAGCCGATTGCTCGCGAAGGTGCGACGCGCTCCCCGTCCTCTCCAACGAAGAGCGAAAGTGGACGGGGAGGGAAGTCCCCGAGAAAAAAAATCGGGGAGCGGATCGCCCGGGGTGAGTCTCCGCGGGGAGAAAACTGGACGAGGGGGGGGGCTACCCACCAAAAAAGTCGGGGAGCAAATTGCGCGGTTGGAGCGCTCCCCGTCGGGAATCCCTTTCCTCGAGGAACAATACTTAAGACTGACTTTTGTTCAGGCCTAGACGAGCTAGAGATACTCAGAAAATGGGAGAAAGAAGAGCGTTGTCATGAACTAACCGCATTTACATACCCAAGTGAAAAAACATCATCACAGTTCTATCATAACATAACAACTGCACGAAATACTAATTTCCCGACCCACTCCTTCCCCCACCGACACCACCAAATTACCTAAAATGAGTAATGTCACTACCTACGAAAACCACTGGTCTAGAGTGTTTTACTACGAACTGCGCATGATGGAAGCGTACCATTAATTTGATAAAACTCGTAAGTTTGTGTTGTTACTATTTTATGATTGCAATGTTCCTGCATTATCGTTGAAATAAACGTAAACTCGAGCTGTAACCTCACGACTATGCTTTTACTCAGACTTATACGTCAGAAAGCAAATGAAATCTACAAATGTTGTGCAAACAACCAAACTAAACTACGGCATGCTGTGAAACTTCATTTTATGAACGAACACATTTCATTTTGAAAATTCGGTGGCAATCCTAATTGGTCACGAACTGGAAGATGCTTTTTCCACAACACTCGATGAGTAATGAATTAATTCGTTCCAGCCGATCTAACTCTTTCGAGTGTAAATTCCTATTGATAGAGTCGAGGACCAGCAATGTCGACCTAGATATCTCAGCACTTTTGCTGATAACGGGCACCACTGCGCGCATGTGCTTAGATTGCCACTTTGCCACATGTGTAGATTTGCAATTCGAGGTCAAGTCAGGAGTATGATTAAGCATAGACTTACGCTTAGCCCTGTGATGAGGCTAACGCGTAGGCTTTGATTTATGTGTTAAGCGTATGAACACACGAGCATCTGTTATGGCGTGATGCCGCCCGCTATCAGCAAAAGTACCGATTTCATAACATGACGCAAAAATCAAAATCAAGTATTCAGCCTAGGGTTTGCAAAATCCCGACGTTTTTTCAATCCCGGGGCCGTGATTTAATCCCGGGATCGATTTTTGATCCCGGGATTATCCCGGCATCAAACAACTTTTGAAATATCGATGCGTGACTTGTTTAAACACATTTTTCGAACCAATATGTTCATAATTAATCAGAAAGGAGTTAATTCAACAAATTATTGAACAAATACAAGAAAACAAATTATTCAAATTCAAATTAATATTTCATATAATGATACTAATGGTCATGAAGGCATAATGCAGTTTCTGTGCTAACTATAAGGCATCTTGTCATCTCTGGTCTAATTGTAAGCTAATAACAGTGCAGTTGCATGTGAATATGATGTTCTTGATTCTCAAACACCTACTTACAATGCTTCAAGTCCATTTTCTGGCATTATTAACACCAGTTGAATTCTGGCGTTTCAGAAATTTGGGTTATTCCAAACAGCGAAGTAAAGAGACTAGCAGTCTTTAGAACGTGCACTTCGATTAACAGATGGAATATTGAAGTTGAACAAATCACATAGAAGGAAACAACTCAAAATTTCGTTGAAAATAGTTGCTGTTGGTTCTCATTATAAAATGTGATCATCTCCATTAGTTTACATAGGAATCCATCCAGATGAACGTGATATAATCTAATGGAGAGCAGAATAATCTGTTGAATGTTCCATGAAATGTTGAGCAAAAGTTCATCAAGCTGTCGTTGATCATGCCATTCGTCTGACTTGCGTTTATTTCCTTGACCGTTTGTCAATGATAGGTGGCAAACAACAAAGATGACTGCATATGAATGAACTGGTAATGAGTAAGGCTTGCTTCAATATGGGCAAATTATCAAAATTCATACAAACTGACCTGCTTCATCAAATCCCGAGATCCCGGGATTTTTGAAAAGTCAATTCCCGGGATCGGGATCGAAATTGAAATCGCGGGATCCCGAGATCCCGGGATTTCGTGCAAACCCTAATTCAGCCTGATTCAAAATCATCTCCCATGAAGAATTTAGTAACAATACTGCAAAAGGGTACTTCAAATCGGGGAAGTTTTAAACCAAATTTCCACTGTGTTGTTTCCCACTAACGCTTATTGCTGAACTACTAATTCATACTGACTTCTACTTACTCTCAGAACATTTACCGTTTTTCCGCAAATGAATTTCTTCCTCATGTCGTGAACCCAATGGACTAAGTTGTTGAACTTTCAAAAGAAGGTTGTAAAAGTCGTACGAATCGTAAAAGTCGTAAAAGTCGCCATACAAACGCGTCTGAGCGCAGGGGCGGAGTCAGCGAAGAGTATGCGCAATCACAGGTCAACGTGTGATTGAGTGCTGAAATGAGCAATATTCATACGGATGGTACATCGGAAAAGGACCGTTTTGGAGGGTAATTCTTTGCAGAATGATTGAAGGAATTGTGACCATTTTGTAGAGAATAAAATTCTCTATCATATGAATTACCTTGTTTTGAGTAATGTCCATACATGGAATCGTTGCCTTTTCGTCCAACAGAGAACGTCGAACTGCCGCGGCTTCCGATTGGTGTCTGATGCAACATTCAGCATTGCTCCTAGCGAATTTTAGCAAATTCTGACGGTTCACTGCAGGGTACATATCCCTTTTTTTGCTTCCGAATGAGACAAAACGTGGAAGTTTCACTTATTTTTAATTACGATCAAACAGCAGTAAGATTCATTTTGCAAGTTTGGAATGACACCGGATATGAATGCGAACCGTTTCTGCATGCTGCGATGAAAAATAAAACGAAGGAGTCATATTCCATCATTTTTGCAGCAATGATTCAGCAGTGGCAAACAATGGGGTGCTCCCCTTCGTTCCACATAGTTCAAACTGATTTTGAGGAAGCGATAATGAGTGCGGTGAGCGGTAATTTTGGTGCTGAAGCCGTCAAAGGATGCTTTTTCTATTACAATCAGGCCATTCTGCGGAATGTGCGGATATTCGGTTTAACATTGACTTACAATGAACGAGGTGTTATTCATCAATGGATTCACCACATCTTAGCGCTGCCACTGTTGCCCAAAAGTTAGTTCCTTTTTTTTTTCAAGAGTACATTAGTGACTCTTACGATTTATTGCTCTCTGATTACTTCTCCGAACCCAATTTTACTTTCCGGTCTTCATCAACCACCCTTACACTCTGTACAATTACAGGCCATGTTCGCTGCGCTTAGGAGGTGGAGTTGAAAAATCCACCTCAGCCGCCATCCAATTGAGTTCCACCTCCCACTTTGACATCTTGGCCATCGAGGGAGTTGTTGCTGTTCTCGACGTATTTTGAGCGCTTCTGGATGTCGATACCACTCAGTAGATGGAACTGCTACAAACTTAAAAATCGCACCACCAACGCAGCTGAATCATATTATTCAATTCTATCAAGATAAACTACCACCACCATATCTTTATACTTTCAGTCCACCAAATATGCTCCTTACGTCCATCATACTTGAAATGTACTTTTTAGGCAGCTGCGTGCACCTCGCAAGCCCATCTTTAGCACGTATTTGATGTTCCTGCAGAAGCGTCACTTGGAATTTCTTAACCGCATTGGTCAGCTAGAACAAGGAGCTCGAATAAGGCGCAAAACACGCGTTACGTGAAGATCGACAACGCCTTGATGAGATATATGCACAAATAGGAGGTTTCGCTACTCAATATTGCGATTATTATGCCCTCATGTCATTGTTTAGCAGCGATATGAAAAAATGCATTTCATCAAGTTATACTCCTTGATACATAACTTGATAAACCATTCGTATTTACATTGCGGGTACGTTTATCAGTCCTCCGCTCCGCTACTCCAATCGGCTGTGTGGTGTGAAATTATGCCGTATCTCGAGTACAGTATATGCTAGCTTATGTAGATAGGTCGGGCCTCCACAGCAGAAAAGAAGCTCGGATCACAACTAACGATCGAACGGCCTCATAATTATCGCTGTTATTTGGTCCTTTCTCATTGTCATTGTCATTGTTTTCGTTATTATTGTGGCATTACTATCATTGTTATTATTATGACTTCTACATAATTGTACATAATATTGTTTCATCGCTATCACTTTTTTTTTTCATCTCTGGATAAATAAATCTTATGATGTTGTTAAAGTATATTGTTTGCTCTACTCAGTGTTCTCTGTTTGCCTCACTTCCACGCGATACTTCTTTTAATGTCGTTCTAGTCTTTCATCTGCTCTAGTGGTTGTTCTCTCCTTATCTCACCTCGCGCAACGCGTCGTGACTCCGCCCTCCTTGCACTGACACGCGTATATGGCGAATTGCGTACGCACCGTTTCAAAATGACGTAGCACGGATTCGTCGTGGAAGGATTTGCGGGTCACCTAAGTTTACCCGTTCATAACGTCAATGAGAAGCCTCAGAATGAGTGCAGCCACGGTCCTGAACCCAGTCCAAGCAGATGAGATTAAATCGCATCCAGCTAATTTTTACAGGTTCTGAGATGCAGCGTAGTCATAACATACTACATTTTTGGAACGCTGCCGAAATTCCGTGCTTTTTGATCTGGTGCTCATGTTCATTGTTTGCTAGGTGATGGTCGCGTGAAAGAAAATTTGAGTTTTGAGAAGTGGATTGTTGAATTGGTGGAGTTCGTTATCGGATTTCTGGATTGAAGGGGTCTCATTGAATTGGTGTGGTTATACTAAGCTTGACGTTGCGCTGGGTTTGTATCATATTCATCATTGCTTAGTCTGGATGCACTTTGTTTTTTGTTGTTTATTTGTTATTTGATTGTTTTCCTTCAATATCTTATGCCGTCAAATATGCACATTCATTTGCGTTTCCAGTATATTTTTATACTGCAATAAGTAGTGGAAGATATCTGAATTTTTTTGATTGAGCATATTAAACTTTAGATATAATTTGCATCAATCGATTCCGTTACTGTCCGAATCGGGTTAATCCGTTTTGATTGTAAAGAGAAATCCGTTTTATGGAAAGTGTGCAGTCACCATCGCCTCTCTATCGCCACGACAACGAAACGGACCTTTCTTAGTGAGTTCGCTATCATATTGCTCTTGATAAAGACGAATGTATTACTCATGGAGAATAGTATCATTTTATTGATGACTTCAAAACGTTCTTTTAACGTCGGCAAATTGAGACTGTCGGACTACTTTGTTGAACAGTCATGCAGTTTGTCAGATGCATTCGTCCACATTTGTCAGTTTTTATTTCCCACGTACATGTATTTCTTGGTAAATATTCAGTCTTTAAGATTGTTTGCTGGTTTGTTCTTGTATTTTAATTCTAATTCTCAATGAGTGTTTGGCTTAATTCGTCAGTCTGACCAATGCGATGGACGAACCAGAGCCTTCGTCATTCAATTTGCGTCTGATAGAGGCAGTTCGTAACAGTCGGTGCTTATATGATGCCAAAGATCGTCAATATAGGAGTGCTGATCATAAGATCAAAGTTTGGAATCGTCTCGTGCAAATATTACAATTTGACGGTTAAATGTTTGCGTATTATTTAATTTATTTTCTTCTTTGCCAATTTCCGAAAACATGATAAGGTAATACATGAGACTCGAATTTTTCCATCTAATCTCAAAGAGAATTCAAGTGTACCATTCCACTCATGTTGCAAATTCTAAATTGATTTTCTTGATTAGAAATTCTGCAGCTAGGTAGTCATCAACTCTGCAGAATCCTTGAGACGACGAAAGATATTCAGTGACTAGAATGAGGTCAAGAAGTTGTTCTGAATCTCAGTTGTTCACGGGACTCAAATCTTATTTGTTGTCGCTCAATTTTAGGTGATGCAAGGACCTTATATAACCGCTGGAAGCAACTTCGAGATAAATATGTTAAGGAGAAGAAAAAAATAAAATACTCTGGCGACCATACAGGATGGCAATATTTTAAACATTTAACGTTTCTTGATCCGCACATGGTTGACAGGCAGCAACAGCAATATGCTCGCGCAAAAGATGGAAAGGGCATGTTGCTTTCGCCAGGAGGGGTATGTTCCTGATGTAGTTAACATTATTCCAGGATAGATCTTTGGTTCTGTTCATTTATTTCAATTCATAGTGAGCAATATTTCCAATGCTGTAGTAGTGCTGATAACAATTTTTTTCTACAATTACATGCATGCAGTAGTCAATAACTGATGACGGAAGCATTCGAAAACGATGTGTTTGAATCGTAAAGACAGAGAAACGTTGAATACCATTCGTAGCCGCTTATTCGAGGACACTTTCAAATCACATTATTTAAGCCGTTTGGGAGATAGAAAGTTTTGTATTCAAGAATTGCTCTCAAGCATGTAAATTTTTCTTCGAGCTGATATGAGCTTTCAATATTTCAGACACCGCATCAAATTGTCATAACAGATCCAAATTTTTCATCGAATCTCATCCAAGAAGTTCAGCAGCATCCGTGCCTTTACGATATCAGAGATCCAAAATATAGGCATTCTGACTATCGTAATCAAGCTTGGGGTGAAATCATCAAAAATCTTAATTTTCCCGGTAATTCGTTTCGTTCTCTTTTCCTTTTACCTTTATGCTGTTGTTTATTTCAGATTATGGCTGTTCGAATTCATTTGGAAATGACTAAAGAAATAAACGTATTACTTAATTAAGATGAAGTATTGTAGATAAATTTTGAAAGTTATTGTAATTCATTCATTTAAATCCAAAATGACTACCGATTTAATATTTCCGCCGTTTGCTCTATTCTGTTTGTATGATTCAAGAAAGTTTGCTGAACTTCAAAGAAGTAATCTGATAAAAGGAAAGTAGAATTTGAATGGGAAAGAAATGAATGCGAAAAATCTGTATTGAATTCAAGGTGATATCAACTCGATTTATAAGCAATGGAAGAAAGTACGCGATCGGTACGTACGTGAAAAACGTAAAATTCGAATGTCAAATGCAAAAAGCGGTGAAGCAGAGGAATCGCAGTGGGATTTATTTCGACAGATGATGTGGATTGATCCGTTCCTTGATGATAGGGCAACGTTCGTTTCGCAGTAATTTTCTCACGAATATCTCTTGTCAATTTTGATGATCTTGCAGACGAATTTACCGATAATCTCTTTTGATTTAAATGTTATCTTCCCCTTTTCGTTCACTTTTTGTTGTTCTGTTATCATTTTTTGATTTATTTTCGTTTTCATTTTTGATGAATGTTTGATGTTGAATATTTTGTGAATAGGTGACGAATGGAGCGTATAAAGATGCAAAATAAAGAACTGCAACTGAGATTCGTTCACATAACAAAGCTTCATTTTGACAACGACTGAATATTATGGGTATTTTTCGGTGTAAACTGAGCTTTGCAGGTCACTGTTTGTCTATAAGTATTTGGAATGAATGAGCGAGTGTTCTAGGCATGTGAAACGGAAACGTGAAAGTGATGAAATATCAGATGATGGTTATTTGGATGATATGGTAGATGTGGCAGGTCACCATCATGCTGGAACTCAACACGGTAATGTTACCCAACTTCACACATCACCGTATACTACGATGCTTTTGCAAACGGATCATTCGCATCAAGGCAAACCTATTGCTCATCTGCACCAAAGTATTGTTTGCTCGTTTCATTGTTTAAATTTCCCTTTTATTCATCAAATTTATTTCATTTTTTTGTTGTTTTTGCTGCAATACCTTCATCATCTGTGAAAGTGTATATGAGCTATTTGCTTGATGAATCAATTCTCTGCATTGTTTTCATAAGTTCAGTGTTTGCAAATGGAATCGTTTAGATGTTCAAGGAACTCAGCAACGCATTCCAATCGGTCAGTTACAAGGGAATGTATTACTTCAGCAGCACGACATGAACGCTATGGATGGTGATAAGGCATTTGCGTTGAGTGTAACAGCTGACATGCGTGCATTACCTGAGCATGCTAGAGCAATTGCCAAAGCACAGATTCAGAATTGGTTGGATAGTTCAAGACTTGTACCTCAGATTAATTTCGAAGTTAAATAATTGTTTGTTTGTGTTATCTTATAATATTGCTGTTCGTTTGAAGCTAGTTGCACAGATCGGATTGTTACAGTAGCGTTTGATGAGATTATTATCGTTGTTATTGTTCATGTGGCCATTTTTATTTATTATTGCACTGGCAAGCTTTGTTCACTGAATCTGATACCATTTTTATCATAATCAGAAGTCTTCTTCTGTTGGTGAACAGTTTTTGATGAAAGAAGCGGTTGAAATATACAGTTAGATGCAGTGTTTGTAAGTTTTTCTCTGTTTCTCCTTTATTGCATTGCGATCCATTCAGTTTCAAGTATTCGTTTTCCTTATCTTACTCATATTTTCTGTTCACTTTACTTCATTTTTATTCTCTTTTCATATGTTCTTTGCATTTTTTTCATGAGTTCAATGTTTGTAAATACAGTAATGTTCCTGATCGGTTTTTCTCTAACATAGCAGATAAATTCATACAATCATCTTACTGCTAAGCGCGTTTGTTCAATTCCATGAAAGTGATCCTTATTGTGGATTAATTTCTCAATGAAAAGGGTGCAGATGGTACAATAATGTGTTTGTGTGTAATTTTGGTGTGCTTCGAAAGAGAATATTAATGTGTTGTTCATTTATTTGGTCGTGTACATCAAATAATTACTTTTGTTGAAAGATTATTTGTTCATCAATGAACTGTGTTATCTAATCTTGGTATTACCATTACATGGTATTAGGGGACGTCACTCTTTTGGTTTATTCAGTTTTTATTTTTCAACACTTATGATATCTTCAAATGCATTCAGTATTTTTGTTGATGTATTGCCGTTGTTTTTCATTTAATGTATCATATGCGTTTTATGTACCCTTTAGTTTTGAGGCGTATTTTATTGCCTCATTTATTTCTTATAATTTTTGATTGCATTTGAGGGATTCAGATTTAGTTTGGAGATGGCGTAATTAGTGTTTTTATTTTTTGATATGCTTCTCTTACTTGATTGAGGATCTCGGAGATATACAATTTTTCAGTGGTTTTGAGAGAACAATCTGATAAGAGAAGATGTAACTTTTCGAAAATCTGTACTCTATGAAAGTACAGAATTATTTCCTACGCTGTTTCAAATAAATCTTGAGAGCCATTTTAAACGTATATTTAGCAAGAAATCATCGCATTTACGGTGATTTTTTGATACTTTTTTATGTTTGTACATTTCCCAATTTTATTTTCTTAGATGAGAAGAAATAATTCAAGGAAATATAGTAGGTCAATCATTTTTTCTGTTCTCCATTATCTTATAGACCTCCTAAGCGTTTGCTTTCATTTCTCTTCACCCCTCATCATTATAACCGTCCATGTGTAAGATTATTAATCGCAATATTCATCGTTTTGAAAAAATTCAACCTGATGCTAATATAACACGTGAATTACCCCCTAAAACCAATGTTCATAATGAATTCATATTCTGTCAAATAACTTGTTGCACGATTCAGACTGATCAGTGGTAGCGAAAGCGTTTGGCTCTGTTCTTGATGTTTTCATTAAATCGATCTATCAGTCGTTTATTATCTCAGCGCGTAACTTTATATATTTTATAAGGTATTTTCGTACTGTGAGTATCCGTTACGTATATTTTAATAAATCTCTGACAATACACTATTCTTACAAATTATCAATCTTATCTTATTCAAAGTTTTTGTTGTTTATCAATTATATGTGCATAATCATTGAGATCGTGGTCATATAATCGGACGTTTAAAATACAAATGGTAATGCTGTGCATCATCAAAATGCTGCCATGGTTGCGAGACTCACGATCAGGGCGGAACATTCAGTCGTGTTGTTTCAAAAAATATAATGTAATATTTGCGGTGCAATTTTACTGTTTGCATATTTTGTTGATACTTTCCTTAATGGATTAATTAAAAATGTGGATATGTCGAATGCGCTGGTCAATTGTGTTGTTCATTTATCAGTGTAAGATGTTTTTCGAACATCCACTCATCTATTTCATTCATATTGAATATGATTGTGCGTTTACTTTCTTATTGAACTCTGAGTAAATGTAACCACTTCAGTCGTTTTTCTCATATGAAGGTCACTCAATGGCTTCTGATAAGATCTTGAACTCTTAGATTTGATATCTACTGAGCGTCAGTGAAGGCTCATAGCGTAAGGGATTAAGCGTTGCTTTGAAGTGGATTCCAAAACAGCGATCAGTCCCTAATTATGACCGATGCATATAGTCTTCAAAATCGGACCAATTATCTAAAAAGATTCTTTGTGGTACAAGGGGGGATGTTCGTATCTTCCTACTTTCTTAATACACAACAAAAATACATTGACCTGCTTCATCTTGCGTAAATCAATTGCGAATGGACATGTACATTTATTGTTCGAAGTTCATTGTGGATCAAATTGCTTTTGTCTCTTTCATCTAACAGTCGTCGTTGTGGATTATACAAGGTGTCCCAAAAGTCTGCACATTTTAGCGGAATAGGCGGGGGCGCGATTTTGTAGGCATTATCTATGAACTCTTTTACATAATCTTTCAATTTGCTGCATTAAATGGTTCATAAGGGTAATATTACACAGAAAATCTCATCATGTTTTTTTTTTCAAATTATAGAATGCTTTCCGAGTGCAGGCGGCGAAATGTAAAGAAATAAGCACCTGGATTGGCCAAGCTATCAAACTTTTGTAACGTTGCTGGCCACAATGCTCGCGTTTCCGTGCACATTTTATTGTTACTTGGACATCGAGTGGTTGTTTTGTCAATCGCAGTGAGTCATCGGCGGAATATTTATTTTATTAAAGTTAATGATTATTTATTGGATTGACGTTTGGCCACGATTAATTATGCAAAGTATTCACGGCAACTAATTAATTACTCGGTTGTGTTCAGTTGGCCCGCTCACCTAGCCAGCGGGGTGGCATAAATTGAGGCTAAAACAATGTACACGGAAACAATGTAAAGAAATGAGCAGGAAAAAGTGTAGTTTTTGTGTCCAGAGCAGAGGTATTCAATTGAGGATGCCAGGCCTCGTACGAGGCGGCGTTTGACGGTGTTTTGAGAGCAATGAAGGCTGGAGAGTGGAAAAGTAAGTATTAAAATTGTTAAGGGCCGGTGAACAGGTGAGGGAGCGATTAGTTGTGAACTAAATCACTATGAAAGTGAATGACTGGCTGTAGTGAATGCAGTTTGTTAGCCAGCCATTGATATAAACAAAAATGCATCGTTTTGCAGAAACAGTGAATGCAGCACACAATAGGTAACCGATGGTGACCAAAAGCATGTATTCGTATACATCCACGTTAATGAGCAAAATGGGCGTACGTGGTTACTGCCCTCCATTTGCTTTCTTGAAACGGTTTTCATAAGGGGAATCATCATTTTTGAATGAAAATGAAATGATATTGTGATGCGAAAGGAAACAATATTTCGATGGTGCAAAAATTTTGTTTTTAATTTAAAAGTTATCATTTCGCTGTGTCCTAGAAAACTTTTAGGTCTTACGGCATTCCACAACAAATTATGCATATGTGACTTATAAAACTCGTATGATTATTCAAAGGCATTCAGCTTAACTTTAGGGCCGTTTGTTAGGAATAAGGCTCAGGTTCAAGAGTACTTTCAGACTTAAGCCTAGGCCTAAGATAAGACTTCCTTCATTTTGCGTTCATGTTTATAAAGGAATGAAATTCGCTCACGTTTTCCCTGCTCTACGAATGCATTGAGAAGAAATTTTGCTATGTTCCACCTCCCAGTTTGGTGCTATTATAGAATGTTATCAACTGTACGAAACTTTTATCCATCTGATAAAGCTTGAGAGATGGAGCTGACCCTCTGAAGTTAGCCCTGAAAACTAATGTAAGGCATTGGCTCTTCTCAACTACAGTGAGTACTCTCCACTCAAAGGCAGAAGCTTCGTGGTTGACGATGTTATCTTCTTTGATTACTCAAGCTATCTTCTTCATCAGACATTCAATGTTGCCCAGTCGCCGAAGGTTTCTCTTCGATTCCATGAAACGTTTTCCATAATGGGCAACCATTCTTAGGAGAAACTAAAGTTTTTCCTTACCTCGTATGCGCTTCCTATTATATTCTTCCATACCTTTTTTCTGCAAGACCGTCAAGTCTTCCAGTATTCATGCTAGTTGTTATCGAAAATGATGCTAAATATTGAGTCTTTTAGCCTCCATTCATCAAGAATATTACATACAGCCATTTATATTCCAGTTCTTCTTTCCAGTTCCGGAACTCCGATTAGTTGTGATTAATGCCGAGATGGTCGCCAGAAATTGATCAATTATGTCTGTTTAGAAGAGATGACAGCAATACTTCATCCCAACTAGTAAATGCCGATAGCATTTAACAATTTCCTCTGAGTTTACCAGCCATCTTGTTACACCGCCTTTCCATGTAGAGCTTTATTGGTGCATGACTCATGTCGCTATTGTGACCCAAACCTTTGGCATTTCTTCAACGATGTATGTCGCATCGCAATCCGATAACTCTAATCTGTCCAGGACAGTAGCTAGTCTGTGTGTTGTAATTTTTTGAGTCGTTCTACTTCGTTGGAATTGTTTTATCAGTTATGTTTATCGATTTTTCCTCTTTGCAACTCATACTATCTTTCCATCTTACCAAAAGAAGATAACGATGCATCGAACGAAAATAACTTACTGATTTTTTCGACGGTTTATTTCCCTCTGGTGTTTTTGAGCCTCTAATTTTCTTTGGTTAGCACCTTTCTTTTTGACGGTTGTTATAAGGTCGACGCCAGTCGTTGATTACCTTCTATCCAGTTTTCGTCGAGTAATCAGGAATTGTTTGTCTTCGTGATTCTTGATGGCGAACAGAGCATCTGCTCAGATAACATCACACAGGTGTGCTAATCCTTCAGTGAATTAAATTTCCTTTGCTTTTTGGAACGATCCATGCCGCACGATTGCGGCATTTTTTCAGTTTCTTTCATTCATGATTATTTTTTAGGTATCTGATATTTAGTAGTCTTTTCGCCTCTCAGGAATCAATCCATTTCCTGGTCCAAAACTGCATAATTTCACCTCGTAACGCTGCAGCAATATAGAGCGAAATCCCCTTCCCTTGCGCCATTCAATGTTAGGCCGTTGCCGTAAATGAAAATAACGAACTTCATTAATGAGTACGGAGAATCACTTCTCCACTTTTGTCGCAGGAAATAAATTCCTTTGTCTTCAAAGTTGTAGCAAATATCACGTAGCACATACATCTCCTTTGCGCATGGCACACGAGGGAATTGTCGTGACCTCTGTTCCATCTTTCAAACTTATTAAGTTCATTTCAAAATTTGCACGAAGTATCAGTGAACAAAATGGAACTGTTTATGCTCCTCAGAGCAAGGATTTGTGGGAATTCAGTTTTTTGGACCACCCTAGTAGTCGTATGATCAGTGCCATGCAATCAGAGCAGTCGTATTCTCATATGAGAATCCTCGATCTTCGGTTTTAAATGAAGCCTTTCTTTTGTTTGAGGTATACTCAGATAAGAGGAGTCGAGAGAACTACCTGAGGCCGATTAGGGGGCGATAAGCAAAAAAAGTTGGGTCCCTCCTGATCACTTAGGGAGTACATGGGTGGTCACAACGGGTACTGCTGTCCATTTTATCATACTGTTTCCAAATTTTTGACACATCGCCTAGTACAGTGATTCTCACGCTTGGGAGCTGCATTACTCCTATGGATGGTCTGGCAGGCTGTAATTATCTCTCGCCTTCGCCTCGTTGCAAGAACTTACTATTTCCTCGAATACAGTCTTACAAAACGGTTGGTAACAACAACATGCCTACGTATCTCGTTCACAAATATGAAAGCAATTATTTTCAGTCTAGAATGCCACAACACATCCACCACTGCGTAATGCACATTTGTCAAGAAACACATACCTATGACACAACTGAGCAGTTACTTCGTTTAAAAAAATTCATTATCGAACCAAAAATTCCATTATTTGCAATGATTGAAATATCGCTAAAAATTTTTTCTCAGCGTAACGGAATAATAATAGTGGATGAATTCAAAAATACTCGCTCGTCTCGCACCGAACCAGTGATCTTTCCTGCTCCACCAAATGACACAATTAATTCCTATTGCTCATAAGAGACGAGTTCAGCCAATATATTAAAGAAGTTAGGAAATACTTGCGATTACTTCAAGTTGATTTTTGTTCAGGCCTATGGCGTGCTGAAAATACTCACATCAGAAAATATGATAAAGAAGAGTGTTGCCATGAGCGAACTGCGTGTAGAAGATATCCAAGTAAGAAAACACCAACGCAATGGCGTTCTATCTTAATATAACAACTACACGAAATATAAGTTAGGCGATCCCCTCAATTATCTTCCTAACACCCTCAAATTACCCTCTACGAGAAGCACTGGCTAACAGATGAATATCCGAGCGATGGGTGCCCTGTAACAGCATCTTATCTAGCAGTAGAACGATGAGAGATGTGATTGCATCAAATAAGTCAGTTGTAGATGGACGAACAGGTGCTGTTTCTAAATCTTCATGATTATTGACTTGTGTTTAGCAAATCCCGTTAAACGAAGTGACACTAACCGAGCTGAAACAATTTTGAGCAAGGTACTTATCCGCAGTCTCACCGGATACTCGTGCGCCCTGCATCCGATTATATTAACCTAACGAATATAGATTAAACATACCATCTCGTGACGTTCATCCTTACAGCCATCGTTCATTGGAGGCTCTTCTGAAGCATACAAATCGAAAACGTGTTCCGATAAATTTTATACAAATTTGAGAACATATAAAATGTGCGGTGCTATTCCACTCAAAAAGATATTTAGCTAGTCTAACTGATATACTTTTTATTCAACTTGAAATGCGTTCGTAAATTTAAGACGGCACATCATTTTATTGGACGGTTTGTGAAAGAGATATTATAATTCTGTTATAAAATGTCGGATACACTTGTTATATATTAAGTTTACTAATGTTCGTTTATGAGAGGAATTGGGTGTTAAAAGAGAGTTGTGTGGTCATTGATACTTGATGATTGCGTTGATATTATATTGAATCGCGAATCGTTATGTCTAGTTGCTTTGTATGCAGATATTTCAGTGCAGCTTGAATTGGTGTAATTGAGATAAAATGCCTCTGGATTACTCAAAATGGAAAGACATAGAAGTATCTGATGACGAAGATGATACACATCCAAATATCGATACACCGTCGTTGTTCAGATGGAGACATCAGGCACGAATGGAGCGTATGGCTGAGAGGCAGCAAGCCAAAGCTGATATCGCCAAGGGTAAATCCAGTGTTGAGAAGCGCATGGAGGTGAGCTGGTTAAAACGATGATGCTAGTTCAAATAGCATTTGGATATGTTACAGTTACCGGTTTATAGCCATCTGCCAGCGGAATTCATTGTTAAAGGTTATGTGACGAATAGTTTTTCAGGAGATAGAGGATAAACTGAAGACGACTACTTTGGACGAAAAGGAACGAATGAAGTTGGAGTTGGAGAGAAATGAGATGAAGAAACAAGAAGAAGAATATCTGAAGAAAGAAAAGGAACTGGAAGAGAAGGAAAGATTAGAACCTTGGAATGTGGATACAATTGGACATGAAGCTTTCAGCTGTTCGGTGAATATTGTATTATAATATTACCTGGTTTGTTGAGTTCTTTCATGGTAGTGAAAACTGTAGCTGTAATTGTCTCCGAATGCTGTAATTAACATTGTTGCGTTGAAAGTCAAGGTTTTTGTAAATGGTGAATTGTTTTTATTTCTTTATTGCCAAAGAGTTCTCTATGAAACAAATTCATTTGTGGAAAATTCTTTTGAAAATTTTATTGATCGGGTTTTTTTGCGTGGAACCTGCAGGAAAATGATGCATATTATTGATATCGTGAATAATTTCTCATTGATGAATGAAATTAAAGTGTGCTCCACGAGTAGAAATGAACAGTATCTATATTAATCTATTCCCGTAACAGTTTGGTATGGTATATTTTAAGTGGTTCTATTTATTTACAGCGTATCAACAAAGTTACTGAAAAGAAAGCAGAGACACACAAAATGACTGAAGAAGAGGAATCGGAAAGAATGGTTGTTTTTATTTCAAATATTTTCGGGTTTTTTCTCAAACTTCAAGTTAGCATTGAATGATAATGAGGTGCTGTCTGTCACGCAATGAATATTATTCATTCTTCGTAAACGTGTTCTTCGATTGATGAGTATTGCAAGCAAATTGAGCGATGTAATCTTCTTACAATGTTCAATTCAAAAAGAAATCACTTTGATGTCTAAATCAAAATGTAGCGGTTGCAGGCTGAATATTTCGATAAGAACGGTGATTTGTTGAAACAGTTTGGTAGCCTCAAAGATTTGAACGCATCGGAGAGTTTCCTCCTTGAGCATCCGCATATTGCATCTGAATTTGCAGCGAATTTCTTGACAATTGAAGCGCTGAATTTGGCAATCGAAGAAAAGGTGTTATTGTCGTTTCATTTCCATGATATTGTCGCTGTCTAGCTACAATTTGATATTTCCCCAATTCCTTTACGAACGTTTTGTATGCGGTATTGGAAACAGGCATGCATTGAACCCGAATCATATCGGTTCACACCAAAATATCCTTCGTTGGTTTAATAGAAGAGTGAGGAATTTTTAAAAATTGTATGGTAATAGTTTCACTGTTACAGGATGATGAGATGAGTGATTATGCAAAACAATGTATCATTCTGCAGTATCTACTGGAATTATCCAAAAGTCTTCATGCATTGGCTACGAACGTCAACGTTATCAAAAACTTCTTCACAAAGTGCATTTTGTTTCTGCATTTTACCATTAACGATTGTAGTTTCATTAACATTGCTGTAGAACACGATGGGTATAGTTAAAATATGATCGTTGAAGATCAAAAATCATTTTAGATTTCGTCGTGCAGATGCAGTCTATATGAAATCGTTTTATAACGAAGTGGATGCATTCAAGGATCGACTTCGCAAGAGGGGTAAAGATAAACGTGAAGCAGCAATCCAGGAGTATGAAGCAGAAGAGAAGGCGAAGCGTATCGCTGCATCGCCCGGTGGTCTTGACCCCCAGGAAGTTTATAATTCATTGCCACCGGTGAGTCACTAGAGTTGCTAATTTTGATAAATTATTGTTCCGTTTCGAATTTATTAGAGTGATACATGTTTTGTATTTTACAAACAAACTTATTTGCCCTGAATTATAAATCAATGTAGTGCCAACTGTCACTTTTAAAGAAATTTAAAAGATAATCAGCAGAAACAGTTTTGAACATTCCTAGATGTACTCCAATGTATTCATTCAAGTAAAGAATTTCTGAATATTTAGTTGATGCCAATCAAACTTTGGAGTGTATTTATATGTACATTTTCACTATATATAATAAGGAGAACAGTAAACACGGTTTGTTCAAGGATATGAAAGAGGCGTTTGACAGTCAAGAAGTAGAAAAATTGCAAGCAATCGCACATAACATGGATCGAGAGGTGTTTTCTTACCACTTGAAACGATGCATTGATAGTGGGCTGTGGATACCAAATGCAGCTGACGCAGAGAATAACGAGGATGAGGATGTTAGTAATTTTGTATTTATCATTATGCACTTGAAAGTTTATATGTATTTATTGAAACGATTTCAGGTAACAGAAAGCAAATAAGTCATAAGCTGTGATCACATCACAAAGCTGTTCAGCCGGTCAACATGTATAGTTTGCTACATAAAGGGAGTCGTTCATATAATCAATAGCTTTTTTTCCATGGCTCATGAGTGTATTGTTGTTGTGTTCTTTGAAGTTTATTTATCGATGTTTGTGATCATTGTTTAAGTTTTGATTGTTTCACGAATCAGAATATTTTGTTCTATGTTTTTATTTCATTACTGGAATGAATATTAAAAGATTGTTCATGTAATCAGCTTTATACACACGTTCATCTTATTGATGTTATCAAACAGTCCATCCATGGATGATTGTGAGGCGGCAATTACGATCAGTATGTCTGCGGTATAGCAGAACATCTTGGTCGATACAGCGCTGTTCTAGGGAGTACATGTAGGTTATCGTTAATAGCCGGGCCAACCGGTTACTCATCGCTAAACCTTGATTTTGCTCAAAGTATTTCCGATTGAACTTGAAAACACTGCATTGATAGCATACCTCTAGGAGCAGTTGGAGGTCATGAATTTGAAAGGAGACGGAGAATGTAATGTCAATGGTGTGGTATATAAAATAAGATGTGAGGAATGTCCATCATTCTATATTGGAGAAACGGGCCAACCATTGCCACAAACAACATCTTGCGGACATGAAACATCTCGGACTGAACAGACTGTGGTCAGTTCACATGAAAGAGACACATGCGGGTCGGGTGGCACTACTGAGATCGAAATCAGCCCGGTGGAGGGTAACTTACAACGCCGCAGAATACAAGAGGTATTGTTTATTCATGACCTCAAACCGGATGTCAATGCCCGACAAGAAATGTTTGAGGCGATGAAATATATTAATATTCATTCATCTTAAGTGAGAGTTTTGGTTGTTTGCAAATGATAACATGTCCAGCATTAAAAACAAAACTGATGTAAAACAATTTCTTTCCATCACAACATTTCGGTTATTAATATTATCACATGATTAATAAACATGCAACTTTGACTCCATCAACATCTACGGCTCTTTGTAACATTGAAAGGTACCTAAGCTGGTGCCTTACACCGTAACGTCTACCAAGTCCCCCATCCTATTTATTCTACTCGTTTATTCCATTTCATTCTATCTTATTTCTGAACATTACCTGGATTACCTGGATTGGCCAGGCTATCAAACGTTTGTAACATTGCTGGCCACAATGCGTTTCCATTCGGTCCTTGATCTTGCTTTCCTTTGCCAGGTGTTACCCAATTTCTTTGTAATATCGTCTTTCCATCTTATTGGAGGTCTCCCGAGTGGTCTTTTTATTCCTCTTGGGTACCACTCTGCAACTGCTCGAGTCCATCTGCAATCCATCTCAATTTCTGAACATACCCTGTCCTTATTATTACTATTATTATTGGTATTCTCACTCTATAAACCTCCACGGCAAACTGCGTATCCTAAGGTCGTAACACCAAAGCTAATTTTCCCATTACTTTTAACACTTTCAGTCAAACTGTTACTGTTGATTTACTAGAGCCTACTTCGGGTACTCATATAACTTATTGTTTGCTTTCATTCGCCATAACTGTTTGTGATTCGCTTATCTAAATTACGGGCAGCAGTTCGCGACGTTCGAGCAGCATCACGATATCTGTACCAGTTTCAAGTAGTTTCGAGCTGCAGCAAGTTTTGTGGTGTTTCAAATAGATAGTTACGGTAATGAGAAGTACATTTCCCGCCAAGCTTATTGCGAGAATATCCGATTTTTCTTATTAGTGCATAATTGAAATGAATGAGAAGATTGAAATGAGAATGAGGTCATGAAACCTGAAGTTATTTGTTAAGAGGGAATTTTTGATGGTGAGTAGTAGTTGGTTGGTGAAGTTGGACGGAAACAGATGTGAACTTTGCGGTATCGATCAATCAGACGAATATTTGAACACGGAGAGAGCAGAGAAAGAGCGTGTATACACAATTCATAAGAGCGTGTTGTTTGCGTCTGCACAGCTTGTGTGGTAGTCAACGCGTGCATGCTTGTTGTTTTCGTTTTCGAACATGTTTCGAAATTTATTACCTCTTAATTGATCAGCGAAACACTCCTTCCAAGACATGAAACACCTTCCGGTGTTATCATGCGATTTGTCTATATCGTGCAACAATCAGCAACGGCAATGTCAATTTTCAAATTACCATTTATTTTGAAGTGATGTGACGCATTTGGGTTTTAGGTCTTGATATGGGTCTTCAGAATTGTATTGTTACGCCTTATAACCTTTTGGATGCCATACGGCAACTCATTTCACCTTTCAAAATTCATGAATCGAGTAAACTTCCATCTTTAACTGAAGTTTTCATCGGCGGGGTTTTGTCGATTGTGGTCAGTGTCATTTACAACCCCTAGTATATCCTAACATTCACACACCAATGGTCGAGACATGGTTTCGTAAAAAAGGTTGGGAAGTGACATCTCAACAGAGATTTCAGCGTGATTTGGCCGCTATTTATTCCGTTTAAAAGAAATTTTCAAAGCAGATTTAATTTTCTCTCATAGCAGTGATCAGTTTCAGAAATGTGGCGCGTGTATTACTGTAAAACAGTCTGTCTTACTCTCATTTCGATTGCCTTTGAGCTTGAAAGATGAGTGATGTCAGAAGAATGTTTTGGTAAAAATTGTGCTCAATATTGCAAATGACTTCTCAGAGATTGAGCTTTGCCTCTTATTCAGGTGTAGCATTAGTGCAAACTCTAAATATCACACGATGGCACGTGGAAAGTCACGTCCAAAGGCAAAGTCACGTAAAGTGATGCCGAAGTCATCAACTCGTGGCAGCACTAGTCGCGGTAAACGGGGTTCTCGTATTACCCGTTCCGTTGGAAGTACCACGAATGGGCACAAAGATAAAAGGTATATCCAAATGTTGAGAATTCCATTTATGTTCTGTATTGTACAAGCAGAGTTATTGAGTTTGCAGTTCATCTATAGAACACGACCAGAGATATGATAGTTTAAAAAAATGCAAGTGAATTGTAGCTACAATAATATCACATAAATGTTGGGCGCTAACGGGCTACACCACCGTGCGCATGCGCTTAAGTTATCACATTCAACATTTTCGGTGTCATGTATAAATGCCGTGCAATTCGAGCTCAACGTAGGAGCACACTTAGGCTTAGGCTCAGCCCACTGATGAGGCTAACACATCAGCTTCGGCTTCTGCGCGGTGTGGCCAGTTACATATGAAAATCCAACATGTTGTTCTGATCATATGTCAATTCTACCACAGTCAGGATCCAATTTTTCGCATACAATATTTCCCTGCAACTATATGAAATCTTGGATTAAAATACGTGAGAGAAGAAAGCCTTCATCGGAATTATAAGGGTGAAAAGAAGTGCCACTTGGAGTAAAATAAAATGAAATCCAACAAACCAAAGCTGAACGAGGTGAAATAGAACAATAATAATGGTAATAATAATAATAACTATAATACTGATAATATTAATACTAATAGTTGTAATGACAGTACGAGGGGATTGAAGTCAGAGTGAATGTGCGCAGTAGTGATACATCATATATGCAAGCGCGTGAAGAAATCTGAATGTAATCAGTGTACTGTAATAAATTGCAGTGAACAGGAATGAACTTCAAAGAAAGTGTCTAATAGTTTTGGCTTCGGTTTATCATTTTACTTATCAAAATGCAGCACAATGAAGTCTTCTTAGTGCATTAACCATGAAATTCAACGTGACTCGAATACATTATGTAAGAGAACAGTTTTAATGTGAAAATTTGACTTCGGCATCTTACAGCAACTGTATGATGATTATACAGTGTTACAAAGGTTTGTAGACGGAACATTCTTACATTTAAAAGAGCAAGATATCAGCAGCAATAATCGTGATTCATGAATCACGAATTAGATTGCACCAGCAATGATAAGATTACCTATAATCGATTTGTATTTGTATTATGCTTTGTGGTTAAAAAGAGTGGTTTTGTTAGACAGACGTGATGTCAAAAAGGTGCACTGTTGAGGTTTTGATAACTTTCATTTTGAAAGTTTCCTAAAGAATGAATAAACGAGAAACATGCGTTATTTCTGAAGATTGCCAGCCACTTGTTTTAAATCTGCTTACAGGCAGTCTTTGCACAAATCTGTGTAATTTAAGGTACGAACATTGCATTACTCCGAAAATGTTTTGTACACCTAATACGATATTCATAAACTTGCAGTCATAAGAGACCATGGGAGGACAGTGATGACGAAAGGGAACAACCTGATTACTATTCAGAATCATCAGAAATGGATAGTGATGGAGAGCCGTCGAAGATCTATTCAAAAAGTGAGTTTTGCGAAAAAGAAAGTTCAATGCAAAAAAATTTTCATAAGCAAGTGAACAAAGATGTTGAGATTGGATTGAAACACCATGCTGAGGTCGTTCATAAACTGCACAAAAGGAAATTAGCAACAAAAACTAACTAGGTGCAGACAACGAGTATTATCAGTGATGAATGTTCGTATTCAGTGCAACTATGAAATTCAGATTATTTGGATGTATTTGATGCAGAAGATGAGTGTGAAGCTGATGATGATGGAGAATGTTCATCGATCAGAACTGAATCAAATGAAGACACCACTGCAGCTACATCAACCATTTCATTGCATAGTGAAGTGGTGCCAAGTGAGTAGTCGTTTATTCGTTCGTTATTATTCTTTCAGTCATTCATTACACTAAAATGCATATGCATTTAAGCATGTCCTTGGATTGAAGTTCCTGCTGATCGAATAGCAAAATTGGAATTACCGGAAAGTAGCAATGATCTACTTATTGAACCGTCGTTATTATTCGATGCACTTGAGGTTAGTTTAACGATCGATTTTGTTTGCGTTTTCTACTTTATAGATTGTCAAAAATTTTGGCAAAAAAGTTCTTGTGATTGAAAAAATGCTCGTTTTCAGTTATTCTTTTACAGTGGTATATATCTTAAGAACACAGTAGAATTCTTCCGATATCGTTTCAAAATTCTAATATGCAACCACTACCACCCCTCGCTCCTCCTCCTTCCCCTTCTCGCACGAATAAATCGTATATAATGCGCATGAATTTCTCAAAACAAATGTGCATCTGTTTTAAATTCGTACATTTTCATCGAAACTGTAAAGAGAATGATAATAGGCAATTTAACAGTACATGATCTTATTTGCAGGTCTACGAAACATGTCGTAGTTATTATCGATCGGTACATATTTCACCTTTCCTCTTCGAGGATTTTTGCGCTGCATTACGTTCTGATGAACAATCGAATCTGCTCGCCGAAATGCATATCAGTTTGTTGAAGTTGGCTCTAAAAGACGATGAAGAAGAGCAAATTGTACTGTCGGTACAGGATACGAATAACAGTTTCAATATACTTTTGCAGTTGATCGAACCAATGACTTACGCGGAGGTTTTACTGATTTATTCATTATTTTTCGATTCTTTTCAAACTGGATTGAATAGTGTTGATTTCATTAAAGATTGCGTCTGTGAAGTATACTTGCGAAAGCTTCATGTATCTGAATAGAGAGTATCTGGTTACATCCTAATGCAATTGAATTCATCGAATGTAGAATGGATCTCAACGGTATTCCGGAATATCACATTAGGATGTAACCAGATATAAAATTTAATGTTTTCTGTTTACTGAAACTAATATTCTATGCACTTGATTGCGTACTGTTAATTGCTTGTTGAAGCTGTATCATTTGATGTCATCAATCGATAATTAATCTTAAGGTGTTACGTCAGTATGTTGAAAGTGATCCTGTGCGTTTCCCGAAGCATGTTATCGAAGCACTTAACGGAAATTATCCTTTCACAGGCGTACGACCACGCTTAACAGTGTTGTCGTGGTTATGCGACAGATTTTTGCAATCACGAGAATACAAAAATATCGTGCGCAATGAGGGAAGATTAAGTGTAAGCTAATAATGCTTAATTAAATGTATTAGAGTGAATTGTTCTTGATCAATCGTTCTCAGTTTCATTGTAGGCAGTTATGTATAATACGATTTGTCCCACAAATAATTTAATACAAATGCTCAAGTAAGCATCGAATTCCGTGAAGTTTACAAGCGTTAACGTTGAAATAAAGAACTGATTATATACCGCACATTGTATATTCCACAATGAGAACAGTCGAATAATTACAGTCTGATGAGCACTGTCGTGAATGTGGTAAGCCAGGTGACGTGTTGTTATGTGATGGGTGTGAAGCTTGCTATCATTTGCACTGTGCTCAGCTCAATAAAGTACCTGATGGACAATGGTTGTGTCAGATTTGCAAAATCCATAAGGTATTATGCTTTGCTTTGTGACTGTTTATAGTTATTTTATCTGTTATTATCACCATCATTTATATCACCGTAATTGCTATTGTTCATTGCAGTTTTCCTCCTGAACACAATTATTTCTAATTTTGAAAAAAAAACACATCCACCAAATCAGTTCCATCATTTGTGGGGAATCTTCATTTTTCTGAAGGCAAAATTTCGTTGTGATTGTTGCTTGTGTCACTCAGTCAAACGTGTTTGCTTTATAAAGTTATGCTGGATTTATTTATAAAAGGAAGTAAATGATTTTCACGAAAAGAATTGAATCTAGGTACACGGTGTAACTGATTGTGAACCGACACCAAATCGCAGCAATAAGCAACCGTTACGTATGACACCCCTCGGTTATGACCGACACGGCCGACGTTATTGGTTTGCCGTACGACGCATTTTTGTGTATGCTTTGCTTGATAGCGTTCGTTGATTTCGTTTCATTAAAATATTCGATAGTGCTCATCATGTTCACGCATTACACTTGGAATAATAACGCAGTTGCAGGCAAGATGATAGAGATGGTTCGATAGTGTATTACAGTACGTTGCCACAACTGTACAATTTGTTGAAACAGTTTGACATTTACGATTTTGAACGACAACTCAACACGAACATTTCCGAAATATTACCTCTAATCGCCGAGCAAATGCACATCACCATCGAATTAACCATGAAACGAGCAGCCAAAATCCGTAACAGTGGTGAACCGTATCTCATCGCAGATAATCGTTGGTTTTCTCATTTCTAAATCAAAGCATCACTGTTTAGTTTCCACCTCGCCCATTCCATCCATATACGCCCAGTTGCATGTTGCTCCACATTTAGTTTCGAAATAATTACTTTCTTCCCTTATTTTTTCCGATGATTGCTTCGCCTTAGAATTAAATTCTTATTTTATCCAAGCTCAGCCACACATCTCCCTATAATCCTTGCCAGATACTAGGAACATGATGTATTATTGAAACTGCATCAATATTTTTCTGCTCAATCCGAAAATTTTCGAGTTATCCTATTTTTTCAAGAACCATTATTGGAGATCAAAACTTGAGTAGCACTAAGCTTCCTACCTTCGTCATCTTTTAAAAATAAAATTTTCTTCTTCTGATTTACAGTTTCATCCAGCCATTTAAATTTAGAATCATGATTAAGTCGTTTTATATGTTTTGATTTCATGAATAATCGATCCACTTTTGTCTTTTATCATTCATTTGTCAATTTAGAATAACTGCATTCGAATATAATCATAAGTGAATTAATTGGTCGTTTCAGTTCATCATCTTGCCGATATATTAAACGAACGATTAGCTCATAATAATGAAGCAAATGTGGTGGATAATGTATGTTTTTTAGAGGACTTTTATATGACTTTATCTGCGAGCCATGTTTATGTCTAGTTCAGACAAAGTGTTGATTTGAGCAGGCCTTTTCACAGATAAAAAAAAAGCAGTTATTCATTCATTTATTATTGTGCACATCATCATTTGGAATGTGTATCAAAGTGATTGAATTACCGAAAGTAAACGCATTAATATCATCTTGAAAGATATGCTTACCTTCGCATAAATGAAATCGATTCTTTGCATTGTTTGCAGTCCACATTTAATGACAAAAAAGAAACCGTTTTTGTATACTAAATAATGTAAAAAAGAATAATTTTTAGTTGCAATTTTCACGATTTGCATTATTTCAAAAATGTATTGTTTTACGAAACTGTGAAATACCATTTTGTAACAATAATACTTTTTACAAGCTTCTATATTTAGGCGAATGACAACAAATCAGAGACTATTTCGAAATTAGACGAATTGATAGGAATAGAAGATGGCCACTTAACAGATACTTTTTGGAGTAACGGATTTTCGAGTAAGTATTATTATTGTTTTTGTCGGAATTTATCCTTCTCACCTTTAGTTCAAATATATTCATTTTCTTTACTCTTCTTTGGGATCACATAAGCAGAATTATCTCCGCAGAAAAATGGTTGAAACTGAATGATTTATTGTAGAATATCGATAATTGATCAAGATGCTGATTTATTTGTTCAGTCAGCGGTCACAACTCATTATGAGTTTATCCCGCTCTGTTATCACTAATATCGCATTCTTACTTCCTTGACATCCTGCAGCCAACGATATTAATGTGGGGGATCATTCGGTTTTATGAAATTCTAACTTCGCTTATTGATTCAGCAACCATAGAGGGTGTAAGGTTGCTCTCCCATTTTTTCTATGGAAGGGAGGGACTCAAAATAACGGTGAAGATGCTGATGGTAGAAGTAAAGAGAGAAATTTGCAGCTGAAGAAGTTGTTTCGAGACGAGATCAAGAGGATGTGGGACGTGCTGTGGCTTCATTGAGCGATAATCGAGAAGTACAAAAGAAAGCAGTTGGTTATCGACTTGGTGAATCGTATAGTTACAAGAATTACGTGAATCAGTACAGCATTAATGATTATGCTAAAACACCATATTTGCGTGCAAAAGAAAGGGACAAGAAGAAATATCTCTGTGGAAGATTTTCACTCGCCGACGAAGGTGCATTTGAGGTCAGTTTCACCTTCTTGATTATTTTTTGTGGCGACGGGGTAAGCACTGATTTTGGTGTTATTATAATGATTTATACTCCCCTTCATTCTCACATTGAATGAAACTGATTGTAGTGATAGAGTGAGTATTCCATGATGGGTTCTGACACTTTCAATTGTCATCATTTTCCAAATCTTGTTTGAAAGCTTTATTCAGTACCATTTTCATTTAAAAAGTTTGCAGTGGACCGTACCAGAAGGTCAAAGTGTTTTTGGGACAGCTGCAAGTGTATGTGTTATCATCCAAAAAAGTTTACTCAAATTGTCAAAAAAAATTCCCTTGACATTAATGCACAGATTATGGAAGAAAGAAGGACTCGATCGATTTCAGCGGGTCAGTTTTGTTCAAATTTTATTTGTTTTGAATCATTTTCGATGGTTTTCTGTTTTTCTTTTTTTTGAAATTGTTCTTCTTCAATGCAATTATCATATTCTTCTCAGCAGTATGTAAATCTCATATCAGTTCACAAAATGAAGCATATATTAATCAAAGTGCAGGCGTTGACAACACTCGGCTCGGTTGAAAGTTTAAGAGATAATTTATTGCGATTTGAATGTGCAATGCGTAAACCGTTATTGACAAATGTGTGGTGGGGAACATTGGGTCATACACGACTGACGCGTAGCACCGCTGAAGATAGGGAAGCGAAACAGAAAGTTGATGCCAAAAAGAAGAAACAAGACAGAGTGGGTGTTTATTATTATTATTATTATTATTATTATTATTATTATTATTATTATTATTATTATTATTATTATTATTATTATTATTATTATTATTATTATTATTGTTTTTTGTGACTGGCTTGATAATATTTTTTGTAATGTTATGAAATCATATCTCAATTAATTTCACGCGATCATCAAGTACTTGTATACGTAACCATTTTAATGATTTACTTTTATAAAATTCATCGAAGCATGTTAACCGATCATTATGATTGCAATTACATAAGTGTAAATATCAAGTGATTCATACTATATTAAGGATTTGTTGTTGTTGAATTTTAGATGTTAATGGTCGCAGATATGGATGATGATGATTCGAATATAATTTGGGTAAAATATACGAAAGTTGGTGGACCACCAAGGCATAGCTTGTGGCGACAAAAAGATGAGCAGTATCGTGTGAATGGAAGAGGTGCACTTGGAGGATGGATCTGGTTATCGTCTACATTACGCAGAAAGTTCCTTGCACTTGCACAGAAGCCGCCTTTTGGCATTACAAGTGCTACACCCGAATTAGAGGTAAGTCCTCAATTTGATTGATTCTCATCATTGTAAATGCGAAATTAGTTTCAAAGGGAGTATCATTAACGGAAAAACCTGACCAGTTTGTTTATCATCCATCCGAATAACTAACTCTTTCGTAATTATTGCAGCCGCTTATTATCGCATAAAATGCTTTCGGTTCATTTTTCTCCTCGAAATTGAATCTTTTTAAATCGAAATTCATCGGTACCTTCCACTTGCTTAATAGTTTAAATAGTGAGGGTGGGATGCAAGTGAGTTAGCTTTTTAGCATGCTGCTAGGTGTAAGATTTTTTTCTTATCTAATTAACGATTATCGTCTGCAGTTGACGTCGTTGGCAGCCAGAAAAGCGTTTAGTTTGGAGTGTCTTGTTCAAAAGTTCACTAGATGGAGGAACATACAGCAAAAAACAACACAAAGGTAACAGTTCTCCTCAATTCTTTATTCTTTCACCCCTTCAAAATTCTTTTTTTGTAGTCATTCAGCTAGTAGATATGAAAAAAGTTGTATGAAACGTCACAGAATCTCGTTTAAATTGAATTGTAATGTTTGTTGTAACAAATCTTATTTACGAGAATTGTATATAATCAATCACTTGTTAAGAAAAGCACATCGAACTTTAATGCGTAATTGCTATTCGCCGAGTTGTCGACAAGGTTTATTACCAATACCAATTGATGAATCTCATTCCAAAGAAGCCTTACAACAGTGTTACAGTGTTATTTGTCGAGAAGCATCAGCTGCTTCAGGTATTTGTTTTTCGGCTATTTCATTCAATTATTTATAACAGTCTGGTTGATGGCCTGGTTTTTTTGTATTTTCATTCTATTTATGTTCAGTCATTCATCCCATAGATTCGATACAAAGTTGTTTTTTTTCGAAACAATTGAAATCCGGAAATTGTTTCTGTTTATTCAAGAATAACGTCAGGATTTCATCAAAAATTGCCACTGTCTGCCAGTGAGTGTGATCAATAACATGTTTCATGATACTTTAAGCTGAACCAATAACCGGAATCGTTCATGCTAGTGATCCATTCGTATCGTCAATTCGTAAAATGCGAGATGACAGTGAGATTGAAGGGGAAGGAAAACCATTCCCTTTACCGGTGCCGTTCAATTTTCGTGTGCGATCAACTGGTCAACAAAGTATTCTTGTTCTTCCACAGAGGTATTGTATTATCCATTATTTATTAATTGAATACTCAATAATGTGCATTGAAAGTGCGATTATGTTCTTTTTGTACTGTTCAGGGCTTTGAAGCATTTGGCACGTCAGGGTGGATTAAATAGTAATTTCTTCGCTCCTGGTTTTCACCGAATTGCGAAAAGCAACCCGCATGTTTGGAATTATCCATGCCAAAGGCCGTTGTTTGATCACTGTTGGAGGTTGGTTCCAGTGTTTGCGTTTTGTCATGGCCGTTGAAGTTGGACAGATTAAATTCAGTTACTTCATTCTTTGTTCTCATTCGTTCGGAAAAGCGATCGTTTATTGGATATAAGTGTAAACGAAGAGGGACGGCTATTGCGATTTTCTGTCGGGATGTCATTTTTCTTTCGTTTAATCTAAACTTTATGATTTGACATGCAGATATCTAACGTTACGATCGCCCTCTTATCATGCGGTCGCGTTGTCACTACGAGTACTGTATGCATGTATCCGTTGGGCTGATATGGAGCGTGATGAGGACGATGCAAGTCTTTGAAATTTGAATCGAATGCTCTCTGTATTATTTATTTGTATTTTACACAATTCTGCTGTCTGTTTGTCAAGCGGATGACCTGATTCTTCAGTCTAGTTAAACTGTGTTGAAATGCCATTCAGAGAATCTCATTATTTTATTTATTCTCCAAATGTGCCAAAAAGCACACTATCATATCATTGGAACTAATCAGTTTAGCAACTTTCCGTGTTCTGCTTTCTTTTTGAACATTCTCTTCGAAGCAAAATCAAATTAACGTCGTTTCAATCCTTACACCATCTAATTGAGTGCAAAACTGATGTATTTGTGGTCATTATTAGTCAGCCTTTAAGTTGACCGCATTCTTTCAGGATGTGCATGTGACCGTACATTTTCCGGATCACGATGAAGTAAGAACAGTAATTGGTCATAAAGAATGGCCACCGGATGGTTTCTATGAGCAGTACAAGCTTAGAGTTCAGTTAATTCCACTAGATGATTCAAATGGGGCCGGTGATGATGTTGATGAGGATTCTGACGTATATCGGCCGGGTAGAGCAAGCGATGGCAGGAGTAAGTTCATTTCTTATAGTCAATGAACGAAGAATGAGAACTGAATAATCGATTTCCAAACAAGTAGGCATTTTATTGATGTTGTTGAATGTGGAGTCAAAATATTATTATAAAAGCTTATCAACGGTCTGATTAGCTTAAGATTTGCCATGTCATAACATCTTCTTGATCATATTATAGGTTCAAGAAGGCGGAAAACAACGTTCAAAGCAAAACTAGCTGGTGTGAATGGAGCTCAAAAGCGTGATGAGACGAAAGTGATTGAAAAGTGGATCGATGGTGTTGAATTAAAATTATGGGAAATTGCAGACTATTGGAGGAGAATGGAGTCAACAACAAGAAAAGTTAATAGCCTGATGCCTCCACCCACCTCTGTGACAGGTGATCCTCATTACCGTTTTATTACATTGTTTCTTACTTGATGATCAATTATTTCTTGAGTAAATTCTCCAAGAAGCATTGAGTTTGATTGTGTAACTCAGTTTGCACGTATCCCACTTGTTTCGTTCAGTATTCGTTGAGCCAATTATAGTGAGATATGACCCTGCCAAGTTGACAGGCTTGGGTGACACACAGTATTCACCTGCATTATCGAGGACAGCTCTCAGAAGACGCATTCGTCCTAACCATTACGAAGATTATGAGTACGGTGATTTTGGAGACGAATATGTTGATGTCGAAAGTTGTGAAACTTCAAGGAAATTCGTTTATGAAAGGTTCTGTCTATCTATCAAAGTGTTTTGATCGTTGTCATCAAAACCGAGTGAAATTGTTTAATGACTGGAACAGTTTTGTGAGATTTGAATGCTTCCACATTTCATCATTTTTTACAAACAAAGATGAATACAATGCAGTGGACTTGAGCAGTCCTTTCATATGTTCCTTTGATGAAATGTTGTTGATTATCTCAGTACGTAATGCCATCAAAACTTAAGTTGATAATTTTTATTAAGACATGTTGATCCATTCAAAGCGGACTCCAGAAAGCCGAACAGACACAGCAGTGAAGATGATTTCGAAAATACGCCATGTAGGATTTATAAACGAAGTTGGGATGGTGTGGCTGGTGGTGGTAAATTTACTCTGATGCAGCAGGTGATTGTTTGTAACAGAATCTATTTGACATTTATTGTGGCGTGGTGGGAATAGATGAGACGATATCGTATTGGTATTTGCCTTCTTTTGCAGGCTATTAAATGCGACTATTCCATCGCAAATGAAAGAATGCGACGTTTTTGACTGAAATTTTTTGAGAGACTTAGAGCCATTTGTTCGGTTTCATTGAGAGGTTGATTGACTAGAATTGGAACAATTTCAAGGTGATTTTGTGAGATTCGATTGGATTGAATTAAAGTAACTTTAAACAGCAATGTTTATAGCAAGGAGATGGTCAAAAATTACATCGTGTTGTGCTGTGTCCATCAGAACCGCCGCAAGTAGCAAGAAGTGCAGACACACCACGTCTACTTGCAAACGCTTCACCAATCGACGAACCACCAATCATCCCCAGATATGATAACAACACTGCAATGATGTCATCATCAACAACCACTACCACACAACGTACCATTTATACAACCCCTTCGCAGCAGTCCTCCTCTACAAATGTGTGTATTTCTCTTATAAAATCACTTCTAAACAAGATGTTACCTATTTAAGTGAATAATCTGGCGTTCGTTTCCTGAATTGATGATAGATTTGCATGGAATCATGCTCTGTTGAATCATCACTTGCTAACTAATTTATGAATGCATTATAAATCAGCAGCTCGATGTTTTAGAAATTCAAATTATTGTTGTTGGGCTAAAGTCAAATTTGAGCAGTGAAAATCGAGAAAAATATTTTTCTTTTAAAGGATTATCAGTTCACAGTAGATTCGAGCTGTCGGTATGATTGTAGATTGGAAAAGTGACGGTCAATCGACCATTTTATCGTTTCAGTTAGTATTAATGGTGCATCATATTGTTTGTGATTTAAGCGTACAGCGTCTCGTGTTTTGGTAATTCGTCGTGCAGATGGTTCAACACATTTGATTCGTCCAGTTGCACAATCAACTACTAGAGACAGTCAAGGCAATTTGCGTACGTTGATTACAACTACGAAGGTACGTGTAATATTTAGTTGTTTTAGAAGTATTGTGCACTTGTTCGTTATCAAGTTGCTTATTTATGTGTTTAGGCTGGAGGTACAACAATGAGTGATGTGCGCAATACAGCAACACCAAGCGTCAGTGAAGCATCGCCACAGCAAGCAACAACCTCCGCAAATATCATACAGCAACGTCGATATGTCAACGGAAGTCTTACTGATCATGCTGGTGCGTTTATTGAATCCGCAATAGTTTTGGTTCTTGAACACCGTATCTAAACAGATTTTTCGCCGAATTCCAAATATGCCTCTCTTCCTGCTACAATATTTGTCTGTCAGTTATTATCAATGTTATTGAAGGTATGGCGCAGTCTCGTCGAATGATCTCAGCTATGCGCACTGGAAAAGCAGTGCTATTAAGTGGTCAACCAGCTAGGCTGGTACGAGTTGCAGTAGGTTTTTTGCCGTATTCTTCTCTTTCTTCATATAGCCATGTCAGCCAACGGTTGATTTAGATTTTCATTCAGTTTATCGCAAGCTAGTAGTAGTAGTAATACCAGTAGTATAATTGCTGTAATGATGCATGGGCATATTTCACCTCTACTTTTCTGTTAGCGTTCATACGAAAATGATTTGATGCCTATCGGGACAGTAATTGTTGAGGAAATTATGCCACCGTCAAGCGATGAGTACCATAGCTGTTGATTTAATGCATACTTGATCCTTTTTAATGGATGTATGTTTACAGACATCAGTGGGTAGTCAATCAGCAGGCGCAGCACAAGCAACGTCTACGCCTTCATCGGCAGTTTATATTCGAGGAGTACGACGAGGGGTAGCATCAAGTCAGATCGCCAATATTGCTGAGAGGGATCCTTTCATGAAACGAATGGCTGCTGAAAAAGCAATCAGCGGAACGCCAACCATTTGTGCGAATGGACCTACGGTGAATTTTGTGTTATTTATGCAGTCATTTCAGTGCTGTATTATTCACTCAACGCATAAATCATCGCAGTGTAATTGCAGTTTTATTGTTTCTTTATGAAGTTGTTTCGTATCGTTTCATTCAAGGCTGCAACGCGTCGTTCAACCGGCAATACTTACGCTGGATATTACGGTGAAAATAGCAATGATCGTATCGATGTTGAAGAGTACCAAATGCTCGCAGAACAAGGTTATCGTCCACCTGGAAGGCCACCCGGCAGACTTACGTCTTCATTTGGGTGAGTATTGTTGCTATCTTCTTGAATAATCACATCACGCTGCATTCTAATCCTTGAATTAACTGTGATCGTGTTAAATGAGATTAATTAATGCTGATGTTTAAGGTACGGACCAAGAGTGAGTCAGCATCGTTCATACTTACAAGGAAACATGCGTACTGTCAACGTGGCACAAAGAGATGAGCAAACTGCGGTGACAGCTGCCTATCGTGCTACCACTGCGCCGGCAGCAACCACCGTCATTGGAACGGATTTTTGTCCAGTGATAAAGTACGAAACCGTTGGACAATACCGCCAGAGCCTTCAACACCAAATGGTTAATTTTAGTATTACTCAAAAGTCAGCCTGAAAGTTGTTCTCACTGCATGGATAAAATAGTTTAGAAAATTTCGAAATGGCGGATTCTTTTTTTTTTGCTTGACCGATGTGTATTTGTTTCTTAATCACTCACTATTTCTTTTCTTGATCTTTGCTTAGTTTTATGATTAATAAAAAAATATTTCTTAATTGCTTAATTTTATGGCACATAGTGATGAATAGCCCTGGGTTGCCATTGAATTCAATGACCTAGCGTTTCATTGGCAGAAGAAAGTAAAGTTTTGTTTCATCGGTTACTCATCTCATCTCAAGTCATTGAAGGAAGCAGCGAGAATTGACCATACTTCTGGTGGTGCTCAGATGTTGGGATCGCAAATGCGCAATGTGACAACATATAAGGAATATTGTATGAGAAGAGGTATTGAACCAAAGGATCGGCACAGGTGTGTGTAATTTAATGCTTTTTGATTGACCATCATTGTACATTTCATTGATGGTTTTGTCTGCGTCATAGATTGACGTTCGGTTATGCTTGCTGAAGCACACTCATTGCTGCGCTTTTCGTGATCATTTAATGAGGTTTTCTATTGTTAACTCTGCGCATCTAATGGCATACTGTGAAGAAGATGACTAGGATTACACATTGAGGAAATTAAAGGAAGTATGTATGCAAATTAGTTATGGCTAACGCTTGTTACAGTTATTGTTTGTGTTATAAATTGCAGTAGACACTTAAGTGATGTAATCTTTACTTACTAATCAGAGTATAGAGAATAGTTGCATTCAGACTTCCTGGTGGAGTTCGCTTCAATTTTGAGTCAAACGAAGATGAAGAACGTGCAATAGCTGAGGCAATAGCGCACGAAGAAGAAATTATGCGCATGGAAGAGGAGGGTAAAGGCGATTCATCAGCGGTTGATTACCAAACAGATACGCGACGTTGCAACGATGATCTCTTATCCAAACATTGTTCGTTTAAAGTTATTGATATATTTGCAGTAATAAAATTGATTGTTTCAAAGTTCAGCAATTCGTTTAGGTTGTATTATTGACGAACACAAAATGTCGTTCAAATGCTCGATCAAGTCGCATTGAGTTAGAATGTTACTGCTATTAAAAATCTTAATTCGGTAGATGTGGTTGTCTTGCAGTGACATTTATGGTTCTTAAACGTTTTTGCATTGTTCATTTACAATCCTGAATTTTTCGTTTACGGGACCTTAATAATTGCTAGTATGACGTTAGCTATTATATACTTGTTTCAGTGGTCATGCGCAACGAAGCGGATTCATTTCATGTTTCCACCTCCAGAGAAGATCAACCGTTGAATCTGACCATCAACAAGGATGATCCGCCTGATCTTGTCGTCTGCAAGCAGGTATGTTGTCCCATTCATACACGTTCTCTAAAATGATGTGTTAAAAATTAATAGAAGAAATGTTCACAAAATATGAATCGCGAAAAGTTTTCATTTCTCGGGGAGAACTGCGTTATGTGATTTGGTTTTCGAATTGGGTAAAGGATTTAGAAGCTGTTCTGTTGACTCAGAAATGACTCTGTTTTATTTTGTCAAACACATATGTCATACAATAAGGTCATTTTATATATATGCCGAAAGTTTGGCAAACTCCATACAAATGAAATTGTGATACGTTTTCAGCTTGTTTATCATATGCTAATTATACTTATATTTGCGGGTAATCTCGGATTTGCGGAAGAAACTTAGAAATTGGAAGACTCCAAATTGACTGCTTTTCTTTGCTGTTGACGTATTGTAAAGTGAGGCGGAAACATTGATGAAGCATATGAATGAGGATAAAAATAACGATGGTATTTAATGATCGTGCTGATAATTTGAGTGTTGAGTTTTAGTTACTGACAGTTATGGTGATGCAAGTATGCAAATGGGATTATCATTATGGTTGGCATAAAGCGCTTTTGAAGAGGGCGAATGAAGATGGGGCTGTTGACAGTGTTCATCGGTGAGTTTGCATTGCATTCGCTTGTAATTACACCTTTAAAGATTTCGACAACTTGTCATAGTTCCTGAAATGACGACTTATTTCTTTTTGTATTCTTCAATTCTGTGTTAAATTGTATCCATATCAGTTGATTGTTACCTTCAGCTGGTTATGTATCAAACTTAATTGAATATGAAACAACCGCTGTTCTTTAATATAATATGTCCGTCATCGCGTTTCTCTAATTCATATAATTAGACAATAAATTTGTGCGTATTCCAAGTTATTATAATGATCTCTGTTGAATCTATTTTGCAATGATTTTAGGACGGTGAAAGCACGACGACAGTACAATATTCAAAACAATGTTGATTTGGGTGAGCGAATTGATCGGTATAAGAAGGAAGTGAATAAAAGGCGAGTGAAGTTGGAAGCGAATGCCGAGCTCGAGGCAGGAATGGTCACCCCTTGGAGGCGACCCCGTGGTAGACCTAATAAAAGTGAGGCATTCGATAGTTGACGGCAAATTAACGACCTCATTGCCTCCTCAAAATTAATAATAGTTTCTCATGAATGGTGTCTTAAGGTCTCTTTCCATCTCACGCTTTCTATTTGTTCACATTCATTTGGCCATTACATGGTGTCACTAAGTCGATGCCGAGTGAAATTTCAACAGCATTTTAACAAGTGAAATTACAAGCCTGTTATCTTTTTGCTATTGGGGTAACTCTGAGCGGTTAAGCTGAATGTGCTAGTATAGCACGTTAAAAAGCGCAGCGTTATTTCGCGATCTTATAAGTTGTTGTTGTTGTGTTGCTGCACTTCAGTAGAATTAGTTGGGACTAAGTATTCGTTCACTTTGTCATTTTTCATTCTCTGAAGGAATCGGTAGTTTTTTAAAGGTGAATACAGTTTGATGTATTCAACGCTCAAAGGTGTATGGATCGTTATTACTTTCTCGGTTAGGTGTCTTTTGTACAGCGATGCGATCATTTGAGAATAAGCCCGTAGTTTTACGCATGTGCATGCTTGCGTTCATCTTCAGTCATTTAGCGCTCATCCGCACCCTAAAAATTTGATTCAGTTGTGAAATCGTATTTATGGAACTATCATGATATCTGTACTTATAATACACCTATCGGCGATTTGACTGCTTGTAAGTTGATGATGACTTGGCGATATGCGCATTTATTTCACAGTAGTCGTAATTCTAGTGCTGCAGAAAATTTTTGGACGTTACATAAGCCGTCTTAACACTACAGCATTGCTAGTACTAATAATAGCAACGCACCAAATTCGAAACAAAAATGAAGATATTTTCGAATATTTTTCTTACAAATAATTTCAAGTTGGTTCTTTTCGAATAATATTTAGAGTGAAAATTCTGTGAAATGAGCAAATTGTGGTTAGCAATTTATGAATCATGCGAGATGATCGTTCACAGAGTGCACTGATTCTTCGTGTTATGGGTTATCGTAAAAGGAATATAATAGATTGTTTGATTGAGTAATTGGCGAACATGTTAAGTGCTGTTCCTGTTCCTCGAGCTCTTCTCGTTTTCAGTTCACAGTCACTGGCTTCGATTCACCTTTTAACAACTTTTTTCTTCATTATAAATATAATAAATAGATGACAATGCCAGTCTAATTACGATTGCTTGTCATTTAAGTCATTACGAGGAGGGTTAATTATCGTTGATTGCACTCAGCAGTCGACCATCATCTTTCACTTATCCCTTTTTGCATCGCATTTTGTGATCCTCCAACCTTTCAGTAAAACCATTCCTTCCGTCACTCTTGAGTACATCACTGTAGGGTTTTAGTTAGTTTCGAAAATGTATCTCTTCTAAACGATATTAAGAGAATATTTCTGTGATTTTCCTCAAGTACAGAACAGTCAGTATTTTATATTCGCGTGATAATGAAAATTGACGTAATGTTCTGGTGGATCAAGGAGTTCATTCCGATCAATGAAATGTTTATTTTACAATCAACTGAGTAATTATAATCACAAACCGTTACAATCAGGGAAGAATACAGTTGAAAGTTGTTTTGTTAGTCGAAATAGGAGTAATTTTACAATCGCTCTGTTTCTGTTTATATTATCTGTATCTTTTAGCTAGTTCACAGCGAAATTTTTCTTGTTGATGTTTCGTTCATTATTTTTATCTTCTCACAAGTGGTTTGTTGCTAAGAGCGAATGATCTCGATTAGGTGGCAGTGTAATGTTATTTCAGTCGGTAAACGAGTCAGCTCAACCTCGGCTGCATCTGTACCAACATCAGTTGGAGTGCCAGTCGATCCAAGCGAGATATCTCTTGGTACTAGTAACACTCAGTGGCCTCAGGTGAAGATCGAAGAGCAACAAGTAAATGCTTGCTTTGTTGAAGTGAAAGTCTTTTGTTGGTTCACATTTACAATGTGAACATCTGCTTTTATTGTACTCGACTGCCAGATGTGACGATAGTGACATCAGCGCACTGTATTAAGTGAGCATAATCTCACGGTCGTGATCTTTCTAAAGAAACCATTCGCATCGTTTAGTGAAGCAACTGTAATGAACTTACGAGCGATCTTAAAATGAAAATGTTGTTATAGTCAGATGTGCGGGCAGAATTTTTGTGATTGAAAAGAATAATGCTGGCAGCAGTTCATAATTAATAGGTTGGGCAACATGAGATTAATGTCGATGATTTTTAATGAAACTTATATTTTGCAGAGTGGTGAAAGTGAATCGGTGCAAGCAGCACCACAAAGCAGTCACTTGTCAGTGAAGGATGATGAAAAATCGTACCTGAAAGCGTCGATCAAAGAGGAAACTTGTTCAGTTTCGTCATCATACGATGCAAATGCTCAGTTGCGTTCAGTTCAAACGACATCATCGAATCGTTCGATTGCTAAGACAACAACCGCAGCAACTCCATCTGCAGTTCAAGCACCATCTCCGAACACTTCACCAGCGACGAGTCGTGAAGATCGAAAAAAATTAAAGAGAAAAGTAATTATTGCGTCATGTTTCATCTTTTCGATGAGTTGTTGTCAAGGAAAGAAGTTGATTGCATCAAACACTTATTCAGTTGTATCAAATCGTGTTCGATTAAAATATTATTCAGCGCGAGCCAAGTTCAAGTGATGATGAAAAAACTTGCTCATCACCACAGAGCTCGCGTCAACGTGGGCGGCCACGAAAAGAAGCGAAACAAGAATTGAATGAAGAACCCTCAGTCGTTATTACATCGAAAATGCGTGTGAAAGAGCGGTGTCGTGATGATAGTCCACATGAAATCGACCCATCTGCCAGGCACTGTACCTGCAATAAACCGTATGATCCCAAAAAGTACTAACTTCCTTTATTCCTCTAATCGAAGCAAATTAAGCGATAATTATCAGTGATTATCTTCATTCATTGTTTTCTTTCTATATGCTTATTTCTCTTGCATTTTCGACCGTTTGATTAAAACAATCAATTTCAAGAAAATATTTATGTTTAGAGAATCGTTTTTAAAGTGATATGATCGTTGTTGTTGGAGATTGCGTCTTTCCTACATTTCTGTTATTGCTGCTTATTTAGATATTGTTTCTGGCGACAATCTGTTTGTTTATTCAAACTTCGAATACGCAAAAAAGCTCGTTGGTAGTGAATAGAAAGCGTATGCTTGTTGATATGTGTTTCTGATGGTTATTCACTGTAGTATGAACCGTAATATAGGTTTTACGTCGCCTGTGACGTGTGCTATCGATGGTTCCATGGAAAATGTGTTGGAATATCAGAACGAAAATCGAAAAAAATGTCAAGTTGGACGTGTGAAGAATGCACCAAAGAACAGAAGAAAAGTGAACAGGTGGGAAGTAAACCGAAGATTCAGAAGGACGGATCAAACACATTATTTTTTTGACACATATATAGTGTGCAACAGTTCGCAGATTGCTAGCTTTAGTTGATCGTTCTTGTGAAGAAACTATTGCTAGACAGACGTTTGGATTAATGTAGCGTTTTATTGCCTCTTGATTGTATTATCTTAACAGTATTTGTTCGGGATGTTTCCGTTGTTAGAGTAGTATAACGTCAATTCGTAATACTTGCATGTTATTCCAGGAATTATACTGTGTTTGTCAAACGCCCTATGATGATTCACGTTTTTACGTTGGATGTGATGGGTGCGAAGGCTGGTTCCATCCCCAATGTGTCGGCATCACGCAAGCGTATGTTTTTCAACAAGTTGAGACTTTTTGATATATCACCATATATTGTTGAGACTTTGATAGATATTTCCTCTAAACAACTATTTGATTCGCAGACTGAAAAATAAACGAATGTATTTTCATTTTTTCATGCTCAATTTCTCGCAATTGTGATTCGAAACTCATCCAAGTGATCAAAATACCTGTTCATTTTTTCGAAAAATGATAGGAGGGAATAGTTACTCGTGGAATAGTTAAAATGATAGGAATAATACAGAGACATGCCCTCATTATCTTTTTAGCTTGAATTTTTATTGTAGCTGGAGGATGTCTTAATAGGCTTGATTATAAGTATTGTGATGCACGAAGAGGTTATTTTGCAGTGAAGCCGAGAAAGCAGCTCAATACCTGTGCCCGGCATGTGTGCAGAACACACAAAGCGGATATGAATCAGGTACGTCGACGACGTCATCCGCTACTCGCACACTGGGTCGTGCTGATTATCCTCTTCTATGGAGATTACTGGAAACACTCACCGAGCATCGTACCAGTTGGCCATTCAGGCAGAAGGTTGATCCACTCAAATATCCTAACTACTATAAAATCATCAAGAAACCGATGGGTATGTGTGAAATTTAATTTTTATAACAGCTGAACGTTGCCCACTAACCTCTCAGATGCATTGTTCAGACAGTTTGCTCTTGCAGGATAAATGCACCTCATAAAGGCCAAACTTTTTCAAATACAATACTCCTACAACTTCGATGCATTCCTGATATTCGTCTTTTTCTTGCAGATCTTGGATTGGTGCAAAATAAAATCGAACGATTAGAGTATGATCGATTGAAAGACTTTTCGGCAGACGTAACACAAATCTTTGAAAATGCGAGGACGTATAATTCTAGAGAATCGGCTATCCATCAGTGTGCTGATATTTTGGAACAGCACTTTAGAGAACATTTATTGGAAGTGAAAGAACAGATCGAAGGAAGGAACAGAGAACGAAATCAGGTAAAACGTTATTTGATCATGTTATCGGTATTACTTCATAACATTAAACTCTCAAACAAATAACATCGAAAGAAAACGATTTTTAGTTATGAAATTCCTTTCGCTAAGTGGTTTTTCGCATTTGCTCGCCTCATCGCATTAGCGGCTGATTTCATCCTATTGCAAAAATTCGATTGTGGATTGTGGATTCTTATAGGCATCAGAGAGTCGAACAGTTGATAGCTCGCTGGATATAGACACTGATCAGTTGTTGAATACTGGTGAAACTGTTGACCCATCTGTATTCAACGATATTATTTGATGTTTCACTCTTATAACCTTCCTTCAACCAACTGCTATAATAATGATCTCCGATTCGAGATTTCTGCATGAATCATTTGTTTATTTGTGCCTTTGTTGAACGTTTTCTTGATTGCTTTGTTGCGAAACCACTGTTTGTAAATCGATCGATCATTTAAGAATGGAATTTTTGCAAAGAAAATTGGTTTACAGAGGAAATATTTTTCAGTATTTCAGTCCTTGATATGGTGTAGGATAATGGTTATCAACTGAAAATGACCGTGGCTTCAAAATTCATTTAGTTTTGAAGTTAGACTGAATTGGGGAGCGAAAAGTGGATGTTGATATTTTAGGAGGAGAGGGGGGGGGGACAGAGAGAGGAGGGTAGGGGAGTGGCAAATTCATTAGGTAGTGATGAGAAACAGCAGAAGCACTAAGTGCTCAAAAAAAGCATGAATCGCAACCATCTCATAAAGCATTTGATGAAGCACTTTTTGAGGGTATCCCAGGTCATTAATTAAAAAACATGTAAAATTGTAAGTTTTCGTAGTATATAGGGTCTATTTTTTTCTTTTTTAGGGTCAATCAATAATTTTTTTCCAACTTTTCATCAGATTCTATCTAAAAATGATTAATGATGAAGTGAGATACTGCATTAGAAGTTTGTTCTACTGTCTTCGATTTTTTTGTATTTTCATCATCTTTTCACAGGCTGTTAAGAATATTGTTATTATTCTAATGTCTTTTCGTTGTACTTTTAATAAGCAGTTTTTAACGAATATTTATTTAACGCAAAGCTTTTCGCTGCACAGATGTTTTTCGAATGTATTACCGTTGATCGTCAACGATAAACGAATAATTTTCACCGGATTTCCAATGACGTTCGCATTGAACGATTCCATTCGTTGCATTGTTTGTTTGATTCTACTTTTGCCTCATTGATTGTTCTTCTGTTACATTAATCAGTGCATATTGTCATCTCATTTTCGCACTTCGTTCAGTTGTGCCCTTTTACGCCTCCATTCGTGCATATTGTTTTCAACAATAATTGTTGTATATTTTGTTACATATTCGTTAATTGATTCATTTCGAACATTTTTCCTATATATCTGTACTTCCTGAATTTCATGGGTGACGACCGGGTCACATCAACTGGATCAATGAAGACAACTGGATTAGATACGATTTGTCTTTTGACATTCCGGTTTACTGACTCAAAATCAGTCGTGTTTGCGAACGTGTAGGAGATATACCCTGTTGGCTGAACATAGCAAACAATGAAAATATATTTCACCCGTGAAACAAATGCAATTTGTGACCTAAATTCATAAGTAATCCTACAATGGGCGTTCTGTCACATCTTTCACAACTGTTCAAAACGCAGTTAAAATTAGAGGAGAAAAAGAGAGCGATCGTTACCAGCGATGCGACAGTAAGTTCATACATCAGCGTGGTGAGTCGTTTTGAAATCAGTCAACAGTCACCTCCCTACGGATGTATGCGCCATGGAAGTAGACTATTGTATAGAGGTGAGCAGTCAAAGTAATGTTTGTATGTTGTTATTCGTATCACCTAAGCTCTGTAGCATGTATTCGTTCATTATTTTGTTGTACTGGTCCACTTTATTGAATTGTTAAATTTTGCAATATTGTTAAATATTATCATGATTACTGTTATTATCATTCAAGTTCATTGTTTGAAGTGTTTCTTGTTTGAAATTCATCGGACTGTTAATAAAGAAATTTTTTTCACTAGCAGATGATGTATTCGCAGCTTCGTCCAGACAAAGAAAGTTTTTATCTTGATGAGAATACGCAAGAGAAAAGCAAAGTAAAACGTTCTCAGAATGGTAATAATCATGTTTCAGTTTGATGAGCACTTTTATAGCGTAATGTGACCCTTATTAAAATCCTTTCCAATCGAAGGTGATGCTCAAATATGTGTGAAAATTCAGCCAAATGAAATACGAGTTAATTTTCCTCCGAACTGGTTTGTTGACATCAAGGATTTGCTCAAAATAATAGCCTTTGCTAACATTCAGTTGCCCCACTTTCTCACTCGAACAAAGAAAGCGGTTGTTTATCTGAAGCCGAATGAGAGTGTAAAAATTGTCGCTGAGCAATAACGTAATAGCAAAAGTTCACATTCAAATTATGAAAAAGTACGATTACCAAAACGAAACAAGTAAATTATTGAAAGAAAGTGCTGCAAAAAAAAGAGGCAGAAATATGTTGGAACATTTTAAAATATTACGAGCATGTAGCAAATTAAGGCAAAGAAAGCTAAGCGTTGTGTAGCAACAAAATATGTTCCTGAAGCAGTGGTAGGAGTTGTCTGTTCGGGTTGAGTCGCAGTGACCAGTGGCGGTATCGAGGGTGAACGAGGTGCGGAAGTTGATGTTGTTTGCGGAGATTTTGTTGTCGTGGTAGGAGTTGTCTGTTCGGGTTGAGTCGCAGTGACCAGTGGCGGTATCGAGGGTGAACGAGGTGCGGAAGTTGATGTTGTTTGCGGAGGTATTGTACTGCTTCCAGATGAACTGAAAATGATGAGAAAAGTGGGGAATCAGATCAGTAAAATCCAGCGATGGGTGCGCTACTAAAAAACAGTAGCTCTGCTGTCGCTTATCCGCTGAAAAAAATGTTTGGTCCGCTGAAAAAATGCGCTATCGCCAAAACAGTAGCAAAACGCTGTCGCTGAATCGCTGGTTAAGCAAAATTAGTTTGCTGTTCGCTATCGCTATTTGCTAGATTGGAATCTTCCATCAAAATTTGCGATTACGTCACTTATTTCTATAAGAAAAAACCTCATTACGCCATTAAATAGTTGAAAATTCTAATTACATCATCCGGCAATAGATTACATTACATTACATCATTTTGCACTGCTTGTTGGATTCGTTCAGTTCGTCAGAGTACATCAACAGCGGCATTCCACAAGGCTCCCTTGATTTTTCAATTCTTACTAAAGGTCCTGCAGATTGCGTCTTCACACTGTTCAACAATTTACAAACTATATATAGACTAATAATCATCTGATTGACTTGTACCGCTAACACCAGAACCAACAAAATTGATTAGAATTGGTAAGAACAATTCTAATGATCCTCTCAACACCCAGAACAGGGAATTAGCTCTCTCTTCATTCATCCAAGATTAAGGCGTCATAAGCAATCCAAGTTGGAAACTTCATCATCATGTTCCTAGCATAGTTAAAAAGCTAACGCCAGAGCATCACTCCCACTGAGAACATTCAGCTTCATTACCATATCTATACTAAGCAAAGTGCATAACCTACATCAGGACTGCGAAGATTTTCTATTGATCGTTGAAAGACCTGCAACATCATCCAACGTCAGGTTGATCTCCCAATGGAAAAATTTTTGGAATTCTCCTCAGGCGATGAACGAATTGACCAAAATAATTCCCTTAAACTCGCTGTAAAACGTAACTTAAATACGACAAAACTGTCGTGCGCAAATGGAACCGTTAGAGCATGGAATCTGCTCTTCTAATATATTATTTCCTCACAGTTGCTCCAAAATGTAAATGCAGACTCCGATCTATACCACCAAAAGAAATCGGATTCATATCCCTAGTGTTGAGCAATAGCACGCTATTCCGTCATTAGCAAATAGCGGAGTAGCGATAGCGGAAGTTTGAGTGGATGGCGGAATAGCGATAGCGGCAACAGCGCTATCGCTATTCGATAGCGGGCTATCTTCCGCTATTAGTTCGTCTATAAGTGAATGCATAGTGCAGTGGTCCTCACGTTCGGGTACTCCATTACCCCTTTTGATGATCTGGCAGGCCGCCGTTACCCCCACCCTTCTGGTACAAGAACACCATGATGGTTAGGTCTTCTGTTGTGTTCCTCATTATTGCAATCGATTATGATCGCATGAAGTGTTATTGTCTATGATGCGCTCACTTTAAACTGATTTAGATGAATTTTCATTATTTCCAGACATGTTGTCTTCATTCTCATAGCTATTACATGCGAATATCGTTCTGTTGATGAGTTTTTCTCATTCACTTCACAGTTCAAATTAGTTTCTTATTCTGTAGCATATACTATTTATTGGATACGTTGACGGGTGTTGACAGCCGGAATCAACAGTACAGCAATCGAATATTATTGCTCAACAACTTTCAACAGTCAAATGATCTGAGACTGAAAATAGAATTTGATAGACTGAGAATTTGACTTTAACTGTTGAGTGAAATGCATAAGAAATCAGCAAAAGAAAATACCTTTGGTGATGAAAGCTATGAGAGCGATTGCAATAGCAAGAATAAAAATGAAAACCCTGTTAAAACACTATTTACTGACAAATGGATGTGATTTTAATGAAAACCCTGTTAGGCCCGGACGAGCTAACGTTACGCAGGAAATAGGATGGCTTTCCAACATAACATAAGCTGCACGAGATACTAATTTCCCGACCCTCTCCATTGCCCGTTGACACCTTCAAACTACCCAAAATGGGTACATTCACTCCTGATGAGAACCACTGGTATAGTTCCTCAATCACTGAGGTATCTAAATACATATTTGTGCCGCAACACTGCACTAAATTCGAATCTACCGAACTCTTGTGAGCGATTCGAAGAAAAAAAACATCTGCAATTGTCGGTTCAGATGTAGACTTGAATTCTGTAGTGGTTGGTTCAGATGTCAAGATGAATTCTATTTTTATAATGTTTCTCATATTCATTTCAAAAATGCCTGTTCATCAACGAAAATTTTCAATAATTTAGTGGCGTTATGAGGTTTCTGGAGTAGGCAATAGCGATAGCGCCCCGCTATCGATTCGGGGGTAATAGCGGTAGCGATAGTAGAATAGCGGACTTCTTTTCGATAGCGGAATAGCGATAGCGCGCTATCGTTCTTCGATAGCATACGTGTTGTCACTGTGAGAGAAATATGAATTGCTAACTTGTGATTCCATGTAATGGTGTATTTCGCTTCTTTTGTGATATCTAGCAATCCTTTACGTTGTATGTGCAAGAAGTTTATGGTCGCATTAATACTCCCCTCGGCAGTCACGGGCTTTCCGTTCACTTGCAAGGTGCTCAAATCAGGAAGATAATAGTAACCGAAAATGTCGATGATATCCAGGGTCGGTAGTGCGACTTTTCCAGCCTGGAAAGCAGCTTGCTATGTGATAAGAAATAGAAGTCCCCTACGAGATGAACAATATCTGTCGGCCATTTTCAAATTGTTTCGCGAATGAATCTATTTAGTTGGTTAGTCGAGTGAACGATATCGTCAGAGTGTCATCCGATTTCAGCTAGTGAAACTGCTTGATGAGACCCGCCAAATGCGGTAGGAAGTGTGTTGATGTGAAATGAACAAATAAAATCGTCGATGATTCAAACTGAAATCAGCATACATGTTGCCTTGTGATGATAAGCGTAGCCTGGCTGTCAGTTGTGGAGAAATTCATCTTGAAGTAGAAGTAATCTTCTGACAGAGGACTGTTACCATCATCCCAGAACAGCTCACCATCAGCTGGCTTCGTTTCTCCTTTAGTGCCAATCTCTGCAGACGAATCCAGTGAACGAGACATACAATTTCGTTAACATCGAATCTTTAATCTTGCAAGAAGCAATAATGATGTAATGAAATTCTTCGTTGCATAATATTACGGACATTAATTTAGTTGAGTTCCTTCTCTAGAACAATCAAATCGAATCAATCTCTAATTCAAGAATGAAGATAAGATGCCCGTCAACATGACGGTAAACGGTACCAAGTGGAATAAGCAACTCGAAAGGATTCTTTCGAGCGTCACGTAATACTTCAGCACCAGCTTGACGTGGCATTATAACACCACCTGAAATGGAACTACTTCTTTGGATCAGGAGGATTGAGTTGTTCACATTAATTTTCGGATCAAATTTGGTAGCAAACTGATTATTCTGGATGCTCAAGTGTTAAATGAAGTGCTGTCTTCTAAAATAGACCTCTTGCAAGAACTGGAATCAATTCATCCCACTGCGCCGAGAACGTCTTCCAGTTCGGCGATCCTTTGACCAATGATCCATAATCATTATCACGCAATGAATACCATGTCGCTGTTGATGGGATATAAGCATCTACTGATTTAGCTCCCTGCAACAGCACCATCGACGTACTAGGTTAGGTGTGTGCAGTGTGTCAGTTGATCAACTAACGCCTTTCAAGTACATATGATATCTGAACTCACCTTGAACACAACTGGGATGATCATCATTCCAGATCCCCACATGAATTGATAGCTGAGTTCATATGTCTGGTGATCGCTTGGGAACTCGAAGAAGAGAGGCCTTATGACAGTGTGACCGTGTAATGTTGCCCGATAGAAAAGCCTACAAAAGACCATAGCAAAAAACCGTTCCCAACTTTTCACTGAGTTCTGATTATCGCATTAAGACGACAGACGGATCAAAGACTATATCTTCTTTGAGTTACACTCATCAAAATTAAGCAAATGATGATAGCCACAGTGAAATATGGTATGGGTTGGGTTGCATTTGGTTTTATGCTCAGGCTGAGACTCATCCGGCGAAATATAGGTTTGTTTAGAAGATATGATATGTCATTCCGCTATGACAGAATCATTCATCTGTTTAGTAGATACCTCAACCCGGCATGATCCTCAGTCAAAGCCTAAGCCCAAATATAATCCATCACCATATTCCACTCTAATTATCGCCACTTGAATTAGGCACCTCTCAAAATGAGAGTTCATGTTGGGTATTTCAATCCATGAAAACTCACGTATATAAGTAAGGAAGGTAATGGTATTTAAATAGGAGGGCTTGTCTTGCAGCCTTTGCAACAGACGGCCATTGAGCCGGATCCTGAGGTTTTGCTCCTTTTATGTTGTGATTTCTAAAACGAAACGTCAACTCAATTTTAACTTCAAACAGTTCTAAAAACACCAAACAATTCAAAAAAATCCATCATATGCTCCCAGCATAACTTTCTTACTTTACTGAAACTTCGAAACGAAGAAAAACAGTTCCATCAAGCACATTCATTATGGAAGAAAAACCTTGTGAATGGATGGAATGCGCCCATTTGTTGCCATCTGAGACATAGCTCCTCAGTGGTGTTACCGATGAATCCACAAACATCTGAGCCTACGAATGGCATTCCAAACCAATTGAATTCCATAGCACCGATAACTGATGTTTGAAGGTCTTCCCAGTTTGCTGAATTATCACCGAGCCAATGTCCCGTATAACGTCCCGATGAAGAGTACGTGGAGCTGCAATGCAATGACGCTGCGTCTCTTCTAGGCTATTTCAACGGTGCGTTTATCAACAAATTACCGGCAGATCATTGATCCTCGTGTATTGAGAACTTGTTCTAGAACCTTTTGCGAGCGATGTGCCATCCAAAGTCCGTACAAACTGTGTGTATTGTACAATAATTCTTTACCACCTGCTACTTTACCGCATAAGCATTCGGTTTTTGAGAACAGGTAGTTGTCCTGCAACAGTCTTCTTCCAGCAATCTCTTTTCAAAACTGTTACCTTCACATCAGTTTTGTTACATCTCTTTATGAAACATCATTTACCTTGCCATATACGTAGGATCCCCATGTGAGGTATTTTGGGTTGTCATATTTGGCCTTCTCCCCAATATCCGGACATTTCAAGCGATATCTGGGGTCCACTTCTGAATCAATAGGCAAAGTATAATGAGTTTATGCAAAAGTTGTCTTAAAAGCCAATTTAATGAACAGTATAGCCAACGATGAAACTGGTTAAACTTCGAAAGAAACCACACTGGCACGATTGAAATTTATGCAGCGACCTCGTGGCTGGCTCTGGGAGCTGATAGTTTAGGTTGAGACTTACTCGGCAGCTGAATCCCACCTCATCCAGCTTGTGCTGAGTCTTACCCGGATAAACTGATAAAATGTTCACCTCTCTTCATTCTTGATTTGGATTCAGGCATAGTATCGAAGTTTGATGGTTCGTTCATATCGATCCATAAGTTGTCGAAAGGAAGCTGCAAAAGATTAGTGCGAAATGGTAGTGTTCGATTAATAAGTTTAGAAAACAAATCGATTCATTGACAAGTCGAATAACCTTTGCAACTCGACAATGATTCATCGGTAGTTTTTAGGTGTTCTTATAAGGATGCGGGCGCATTAGGATCAATGCGTCGATTTGGTTATAATCAAGATTTTACCCACATATTCAACAAATTTCAACTCACCTTTTCGTGAAATAGTTTAAACTCATTAATCCACCACTTTTCAGTATTGCCTGAAGGATCCATGAAATCAGGCATAGCCGTGTTATTATCAGGCCAAACGTTACCAAGCATATACAGTGTCCCATTGGTGACTGGATATAGATCGTTCACGCTGCTTTCAACATATGACTTTTCTGGCCATTCAACGAATCTTGCACTCTAAACATCCAACAATATATGCATTTGAATGAGAATAAAAAAGCTTCTTACCAAATTCATGGCTCTTTCAAATGTAGCATAATTAACTTGAATTGCTGGATCAACTATAATCGTGAGTCGCAAACCATCCTTGTGCAGTCCGTCAACGTAGTGCGGTAGTTGTGGCCAACCCTAAAACATGACAACTCACCAACAATGAAGAATCGCGTCACGAACGAAACTCTATCAAACTTTGTTCAGTGGCTCGTGATCCAACCGAACGTAATATGCGAATATCAATGTCGATTCCAAGAGGGTACTGCTTTTGTGAGTTGATGACAGAAAGGTTTCAATATCTTACCAAGGTGAAATCTTTATAGCGTTGCATGTAGTCGATATCAACTACAACCATATCAAGAGGAATGTGAGCGTCTCTTGTTCTTTTAACAGCTGCTGTCATATCATCGAAACTGGCGTAACCCCATCTGCTTAGCTAAAAAATACCGAGCAGTCAGCTTCTGAAGAAGTCGAAAGTTCACCTTATATCAGCATGTCAATTTTTTTCAAAGATTCGTGGTGATGATCAATGTCCAACATACAATTCTTTACCAACAACGAGGATGCAATAGCTCTTGTGCTCGATCATAACTATTCAGTGAAGTGGCACTAACCTGGAATCCAAAAGCCCAATACGCTGGCATAAACGGTTTGCCAATAAAAGCGAGATACTGTTGAATGACTTCTTCAGGTGTTGGTCCTGGGAAGAAATACAAATCAATGTTACCACCTATCGTGCGATAGATGAGATGGGGAGCAGGACCGAGCGTAACTTCCTGCAAGAGCACAAATCAGCTGCATATTTCAACGAGTGCACCTTATCATATCACTCAAATACTCACTTTTAAATTCAACATTTTATTATTTGCGTACGATCCATAATCGAGTGCCGATCAACGCATAACTGCAATCGATCATAACCTATTCTCACCTGAGCATTGCTGTTCATAATGAAGACACCATGTGCTCGACCATCCTCTTCCATGCACATATAAAACGGATGAACACCATATAAATTACGCTCACTAAGTTCAGATACTGAATCCGGTGCCATATCCCTTGAGAACATCGGCCACGTTGTATATCGAGTCATATTGTGCTAATAACATATTTTCATTATAATGTCGCATTATATTATTTTTCGTTATTTCATCTTCATTATAAAATATTCACTATTCATTACAGTATTGTAATTAATTCAACTGAGTCGTAAATATTGGCATCCAATTGATGATATGAAACGGAGAGCATGGACATTGTTGGGTGGAATGGAAGTGCTAATAGTTGAAGTGATTGATAGATACCTTTATATGTTTGTGAATATTATCACCAAAACCGTATATGTTCTTCGATGGCAAGTAAGTAGCTATCTGGATGTACTGGTCTCCAAACAGAAGACCACCTGAAATAGAAGTTGACATTGATCTAATTTGTTCAGGCTGCAACTGATTACACTCAATTCAAGTGTACAAGCTCATATTATATTGTTCAAGCACCAACCGATGCTTGTGTCCCATATCTTTGTTTGTGTGCTGGTCCGTTCAACCGTAAAGGCAAATGTATCGTAGGGCGCATTCGAACTTCTCTTCACCACCAAATCATCGATCGATGACGATGCTTCTTTCGAGAAACTTACCAGTGGTTCATACCTAAGCATAATGAATTTCTTGTCTACAAATGTTGTTTTCTTGCTGGTGGAATGCTAGCAAACAAAGGTTTCGAAGGTGTCTATTGTTCTAGTTGAGGTGATGGAATGTTTGCAAATGATCTGTACCGGATCACAGTTGTATGTCTGAATGAAATAACGATTTGGATGTAATTATTAGGATGTTTTATGCATACGTGATGAGAAATGTTTAGAACGGCCAACTCTGAGCTCTTCTTTTCTTTCGAAGTGCTCATCATGATTTGAAACTTGTTGTTGCATAAAATTCTTTTATAACCTTCAATTTCAATCATACTCTATACTGTCTTCAGTGACTGAACCTACATTCGAATCAATTGTGTCCAAATTAAACTTTTATTTTAATCGATATGATTTCTGTGTTTCCTTTTGTGCGAATGAAAAATCAACCTTCCGCTGACTGATATCTTCACATTGAGCGTCTTGCCGTAATATTTCGTTTCGAACTTAACTGGGATGTTCGCATAATAAGGGTTTTTGCTGTCTGGTGCCGGTTGCAAAGTGCTTTGATCAGCGCTCATCACGTAACCAGTAGTTCTATTGTAAAAGCAGTAGGGTGCTCCAACCTGAAAAATATTCTTCTAGAATATTATCTAAATTTCATTTCCATGCAATCATCTGGCAAAGCTACGGCAAAACACTGAACCAATGAATCAGTATTCATCTGCTATGGCGCTTTCTTGAGTGGCACCAAATTAACGAAAATACTAACAATAGATGATTCCACCCATTCGCATCCTCGATCTTTGCATCGCTCTACACTTGCACCAGGTTCAGGATAGCAATCAATACGATTGTAATCAGTTATCACTGGAATGTTCGGAACACTGAAAATTTATCAGATCCCAAGCATGCCACTGAAGTGATTGCTGATAACTGTTCCTAGTATCTTTCAATGACTGACGTATGGTTCGATGAAACCTTTGGTTTGTTCTTTTGTGCGCTTACATTTGTTCAGTCACAAATGCTTTCAGTTTTTCGCCTTTACACTCGCAAATTGTGTTATTTCTGAAATTGGCTGGTAAAATTTGGTGGGTACTTCTACGCAATCTCGTTGGTTGCTGATTGCCAGTAACGCTTTCGAGTGTTTTGGTTCTTTTGTATATGATTTGCACTAGCGTAAATATAGGAAACCGTACAGTAACGTATCATATTTGAGAACAATCGAAGGCGATTTCAAGTTATGCTGATCATGTGACTGTACTTTTGAACCAGCCGTCCTAAATTTCTTTCTTTTCAACCAATAAAATTTGGTTCGGTTTGGGCTTCGAACAATTTATATTAGACAACTGAAAACTTTGCTAATGACAGCTCATGTTTGGTAGCCTATAGTCAGATGAATATGATTCATCAATAAGCTCACCGTTCAGTTTCCACGATGTTTTCATCGTCTTCTTTACGATCTGCCGTTTGTGATATTACCAATGAGCAGATTATGTATGCTTTCACGATGAGCGCCAACATTATGCAGGCCTCTGAAACAAACCACTGCTTTCATAAATAACTATCGATTACCTTGAATTTCATTTATTCCATATCCCCTGCCTCAGCCATTGCCATATTATCGCAAATAATCAATGGGAGCTACATTTAAAGATGAAAGGAGCTACTGCAAATTGATCAACATTCAGTTTATAAACGCCATAATAAATGGACGTTCCAGGACAGTGCGAGAATTTAGCAATTCGTATGCACATGCAAGAAATGCGGATCGCTTGGGAAAGTAGCTTCATAATACAAAGGAACTGAGGATGGAGTTTGTTCAGAACAATGAACATTGATGACAAAAACGCATTGATGTCGGTGGCTTTCAATTATGATGGAACGCTCTTTAAAATGTCCACTTTAAAGTGATACAGTGTAAATAAGTTTTATTGCCACAAGATTAGAATGTAAATGACATATAAAGTTTATTATTATCTGATTAGATTGTAGATGACAAATAAAATTCGTCATCACATGATTAGATTGTGAATAAAATCAAATACAAAGGTGAAAAAATTCAATGATCGTTGTTGTGCGATATTCTAGAAAGCGAGTTCGTTATGCAATTTTCGATGTACCATATTTGGTATCAATCTAAAAATGTATTGCTCTTGTTGAAGACTTGTATTCATCACCGCAGTAAAATGTGCGAGCATTTGACGGTTCAGTTTCAGTTCTCTATTTCTGCTAATCACGTCATAGAAAAATCATTTTCATTCGGGAAAAAAAATTCAGAACGAAGTTCGACTGTCGCCCTATCAGTACCTTAAGCTAGTGATGAACGCAAAAGGAATGAGTCATTCACCCGTACTGAGGTTTATATATCGTTTAAGTGAAGAATTATCTTTCGCTTCTCGAATGCCTATTCTGTTCAGAATACACTAAATGATACGCTTGTAAAAAGTATTTTTTCACTGAATTAGTGCATTAGACAATAACACGTCGATAAGAAAGAAACCTACAAATCATTTTTCGAAATGCTATCTAAACATTGCTTTCCTAAATAACTATCGAAGTGTTATTGCCTAATGAACTAATCTAAACGCTGAACTGTGCGTTCGCAAAGAAAGATAAAATCATTACTTTGTTATAAAATTATCATGAAATGAGCACTCCGGTTGCTTCTCCAAAGAAAGTGTGGTGTAATCAAAATTTCGTCTGATCGTATGCAGAACTATTCACAATTAAAACGTCCAAAAAATTATTTTATTGAATGACTGTTGGTGCTGGGTGTGTTTCAGGATCAATAATCATGCTCTCTTTAAAAATGTCTGCTCTTGAAAGTTTTCATTACTGCACGTAAATAGTGCAAAAAGGGTAACTCAACTGCAACTGATAAACAGGATGGAAATAGCCATATGGTAATTATTGTCACTGACGTTATAAGCATTGCAATTACGAAATGGACAATAGTGATAACAATTGGAACAAAGTTTAAGAACCTGAGAAAACAGAATAATACTATTGATTGAAATGGAACAGCTGAAACGCTGTTTTTTTTCGCCTTTCTTCAAGATGTTCCTCGGTGATAATTGAAATTTAGCAAAGTATTGAATGCTTCATGACGTTGTGAATACTTCCGTTATGAATGTCTTATTAGATCCGAATCCACCAAAAATCACTCATGTGTTATAATCCCAGGATACATGGCACGCCAACAAGCAGCAACCTTTTCATGGGAATCGATGAGACCAAATCCATGCGGGGTTCATCCGTTTTTAGCAACAATTCAAAAAAAATTTTTGACTGAACGATGAAACTACGCCACGTAGCAAGTAAATTACAAGTTGTAGAATTGATATTATCGAACCGCCAATCCATAGTGATATCTGACCTGAAGAAAGAGCAATTAATAACTTTATTCAACGGTTTATAGAAATTGTTCATGAGGTTTGAAACAAGTCTCATTTTGCAGAAGGATTTATGAATGTCAACATATTTTGCATCATTTTACGACAGTCAGCGGAGAGAGATTCAAAAATGATTAATTCATTAATAAACGCGACCTACATTGGATGCTTGGCAACACGGGTTTGTACCCTGATTCTGTTATTTTCTGGAGTTTCATATTTTATTTGACATAGTTGATTAAAAAAGTGCATAAGGAATAAAATTCCATGAAAACCTTTGCTTGAATCGTCCGATCTAATTGCAAAAATTCTAACAATATCAACAATTACAATGATGATAAAAACAAAAATAAAGCAAAAATCACCTCCAATTTGAGCGATGAATGAACTCGGTGTCATTGAGACCATATGTTTAATAACTGTAAAATCCAAGCTCGTATAAAATACCTACAACTTCAGAAATCGTTTATTGCACTCAAATTAGTCGCATGTGACTTGAATGCAGGATGAGCAATTTCAAATGAGCCGACGTTATGAAAATCTATTACTACTCATGGACAAATCAAAAGTAAATTAAACTGATCAAAAACTTTGTCGTCAAGAGTTATTCAGTGATATCAAAGGAGTCACTTTTTCATGATCAAAGAAAATTTGAACATGATCAAAAATTGAACAATTATGAAAGAAATGTGAGAAAATCCAGCAATAATGCTTTTCCAACCTCCTCAACTTCTCCTATTACCCTCTAATTCACTAACTATAAGCATTGATTTGCACGTTTTCACTAAATCCTATGATAATTTTAAAAATTCTTTTTTAAATCGTAAATTACATTTCTCAAATTTATTTATTCCAAAATCAAACGGTGATATGCAAGTTGAAATTACAAATTATATACAAACAAACCACTATAAACGATATATGAAATGCAAGAAAAAAACAACTGAAAATGCAGTCACCTCAAGGATGATTGTATTTTGCAGGGTTTCCCATTCAGTGTCATTGTCCACTATATAGCGAGTGTGCTTAGCCGGGAAATGCGCATAACTGACTGTTTTTTGGAAATGCCAATATGAGCAAGGCGGTTTGCATTGCTCTTTGCATCGCTACAATAGGAACATGAAACTGATTGCATTCAATCAAACAAATCATCTAAGAAACTTCATTCCTTCGTTAGCACATCGAATCGTGAAATGTACAGTTATAGGCATGGAGTAATTACGAAATGAATTTCACTGACGATGAGATATGCACATTAAACAAAGAGGCACTTTCACTGGCAATGCTAGAATGCATAACGTCATCGAGCGTGTCTTGATAATTGTAGCTTGATGTCAACCAACCTCAACAATGTGTGTATTATTCACCGAAAAAAGTTGTACTGCAAAACAGTGAAAGAATTGTTTCGTTGTGCAAATCGATGGTTTCCGTAGCACTGTTGCGGCTGCCAGTGAGCAGTTGCATACATCTTCGGACGCTTGCGTTAAACAAACCTTCAAGTGACATTCTTGATTATCATGTTCTGATTTCTTTGCTGATTGTTTTGAAAAAAATGATGGAACTCACTTCAAAACACCAAACTCTGCTATAAGTGGGATCTGCATCTTCTTCGCACATATAACGAGGTGGATCGTTCATGAATTCATATTTGGTTGCCGATAGTGGCATGATTGCATGAACACCTGGATAGTAATCAATGATAATTTCAACCAGTTGAAGAACTATGAAAATATCATCAGTCATTTCATTTCAATACCCGATGGTATAAAGGTTAGATCATTATCGATTCCACGGCTTCTCTCGGCTAATTTTATGGCAATCCCATCGTTGAGCATTTGATTGACGCCTGGATTGTATAAATGGTTTGGCAGTTTTATGACAAATCTCGCACCGTAACCGAAACCGTCTCCTTCCTTAATGATTTACGTTCATGAACGCTTTATTCAGTTACGAACGAGTTCATAACTTGTAGCGTATTACCATTATTTTTCTAGGTCTCGAATAGTTTGTCGTCATTAAATTGACTTACTTGGTCAATACCTGGTATCCTGAAGCATTTGCCAGCAGAAGACATTGTTTCTGTTAAATTATCACATACTGCTTTGTTCTCGAAGAAGGCTGAACAATCCAATGTTGACTGCAAATTGAGTCAGAAACTCATTTTGAAAATATGAGCAATTACTTCCGATAATTTCATTGGTTCGACAACATGTGAACAATCGTTTCTTGAACAAACTGCCTGTATAAGCATCAATGCAAAGCTCTCAAATAACAATGAACAGTTCAATCGTTTTTGTTTGCAGTGAAGAAATTTAATGCTATTTGCTCAACAAATCTTGTCTTTAAGTCGTTAATACCCTATCGAGCCATACCCAGATGTTCGAAGTTCATGGACTCAAAGCTTTCTTGAGTCCCGTTGAACTTTGTGGAGAAGGCATCCTAACAGATTCCATGTAAAACTTCATAAAGCTATCAGGATGCTCTTATTTCAAACTCTCTTCATAAGAGCTTATTCGTGCCCACATACTGTCAGCATGATAATGAATGTTTTTAACCGAGTGAACTGACATATGTAAATTGCTGGATATAGGTAAGTGAACACTGATATATTTCAACTCGATCGGTAAAACACTTTACAAAAATGTGAACCATTTTAATGAATTGCGTGAATGATATATTGCCGAGTTTTTTAAGCAGCATCTCTAGTTCAAAATCAAAACGATCAATGTTGGCCACAGTTTCAGTGTATTGACGTGTCTGAAATGAGTGAAGCATCGGACTGGGGTATGATAGTTCCAGATACTGAGCCAGTCCTCGACTCACATTCAGCTCTTCCAGATACGATCGATTGTATCGATTGAATGGGCATATCACAATATCTGGAAGTGCGAGACGACGCCCTGAAGAACATTTTGATTATCTGTTTCTTTTCGATTCGTCTCGATTAATATTGCAAGTAGTATCGTTTGCTAGTTTTGTAGCTTCATGAAAACATAATTAATTGTGTTGTTAGTAAATTGAAGATGATTCCATTACAGAAGGAGGATAACTATCAATGACAATCCTTACCCGCTTCCTGAATAAAATATGATACGACAACAGGACGAGCAATATATTCACTGAATATCATATAAGATCCATGAACAGCGAATATAAGCGCTAGCATTATGAGGGTGATCCAAATAATTTGCATGAATAACGATCGAGAGATCAATAAGTCTCTGACACCGTGGAATGTTGTATTATCCTGGAATGCTTTATCCTTTCATCACATTTAATGGAGGGTTGCAAACGTAAGTCGGAGTTTCAAGACGAGCCGTATATGATCTGGTGGTACTAGCCGTTCTATGATTCCAAAAACACGACGTGTTTGTCATCCGGATGACTAAAATGTTGGGTATGCGACTCATCTGTTGACTCCGATTTACTTCCGCATCCTTTCCCTATCACGTGCAGTCGCTCTCAAGAAAAACTGGTCGTTTGACACACCAATAAAGATATTAAGGAAACGTCGACATAACTTCCATACCCTAAAGAGAATGAAATTGTTGTCATCTTCCTCACAAATTTCTTCCATTTCAGTTTCAGTGATGACGACGTGTTCGTCACTCGGACGGCTAAAATATAACTAGTGATCTCTAACACTTCAAATGCATTTTTCTTGCCTTCTAATCCATTGAACTTCTACCTTACCGTTAGGTAATCTTAATATCAAACATTAACACAAATTCTGCATGCAATTAAGATAATCAATTGAATGCGATATTCTGAGTTATATGGAAATTCTTTGATGCTGTTTCAGTAGTAATTCTCCAATGAATCGATATCATGGAAATTATTTATTGTTAAGACTTTGGGGGGGATTTGAGAAAAAATATATGGATATCGCTGGAGAAATGTTGAAGAACCCAATCAAGCGATACTTGTTTCCTCTTGACCACCAGCATTGTCGCTTTCCTTTACCAAACTGCTGCAGAATACTTTCATCCGATAAAGGAACTGCATCAGATAGGTTTTCCTCAGGTCGTTCGAACATCGCTAGCAATCCTGAAATTGAAAACTGAATTTGTTATTTTCCCTATCCTATTGCATTATCAACGTGAAATTCACCGTTGATGTCACTCTATCACAAAACTATCATTTCAGTTGAGAAGTGGTTTGTAATTCAATGAATTTTTATGAATTAATTCCACACAGAGATGCGGAGTGTTGCAACACTTTTTTCTCAATTAGAAGCTTTCAAGACGATTACAGTGTAAAGTATCATTGGTGACGATTACAAACACTGTGTTATGATGATGCGTTATGGATTGATTCACCATTTGAACCTTGTTTGCAATAAAAAGTCATATTGATCTAAATGGATGTATGTATGTGTACTGTCTGAATACTCTTTGCTTCCTTCTTATAGAGGTAAAATGCCGTTGATATAGAGTACTTAAATGTTTAAGATTTAATTCAAAATATCAATTTGCTACAGATAAGGTAAAATTAAATTTAGCGCATTGTCCGTGACAAGAGAACGAGGCAAATTCTAAGTTTAAGGATCGATGGTTGAGAGCAATATTCAGATGCAACAGAAACACTAATAAAAATTATGTACTGATATGTGCTGAGGTGAAGAAATACGGGAGAATGCATTAAATGATGATAGCCACTCTAGGATGTAATACGCCGTTCTGAAAGAATTGACTGTGAATTGGTGAATGCAAGGAAAATTGCAAAAGATGAATGAATCGTGTCCGGTTTAATGAAATGACCAGAAAATAATTGCTTGTCAACCTAGCAAGATGACTGCACTCAGATGACTCACTCATTTATTCATTTAACTCAGCATTGTTTTGTTAGCAATCAATACACCCACAACAATAACGTCCATCAATTAGATTCAGTTCGACCCCCTCTCACCTCTGCACACTTCTAATCAAACTTTCCAATCCTCGCTGCTATTTCGTTTGTTACTGCATGTTCATCACGAAAGATTCAACACAATAAACATTATGTTGAGTATTCTATTTCAATAAAAAGATTCGGATGCTTTAATCAATGTATTAAATCGAACGAAAAGGAATGTAAATAATTTGTACGAACAAAGTATGATATTTGTGATGTCGTCAAACAGTTTTAATAATGTAATAAGATTGATATGCGAAACAAACTCATAGCTTTAATCGATTTCGAAAGAAATTAGGGGTTCATATCTTCATGTTTTTGTGTAGTATATGCATTAGCGAAACAAATGACTGAAAATCCAATAGTAATTCAGTATGACTGCAAATAAGTATCGTAACGGTACATTGTCATTTTATCATGTTTATCAAGACGCTGAGCTCACAAAGATTCATTGTCGAGCAGTAATGCCGATGCATTCGCTCAGTCCTTCAAACAGCCATCATATTGTATCTTGCGTCTTATAATCCATTCCACGAATCGCTTAAACGGATGCACACTGTCATTTTTCATGTTATGAGATTGTTTAAGTTGAGCTGCTGCTTGAACCCATAAACTGAGAGATGATATTCGTCAACAAAACATTATTATGAATGTAATATGAATGCAGCAAAATTGACGATCAAAATGAATGTAAATGAACAAAAACGTAGATGAATGAATGTATGCTGATCGTAGCATAGACAAATATTGAAATGCACCAGTAAAGTGGTAACAGCCAATCAACGTTCTTCCTACTTATACACCTTATCAGTCCTCTTCAAAAATTCTGTTTCATTGCAGTGACGATCATTCGTTTCATCGTTGAAAATTTCGAAAACACAAATTTAAAATCCTAAAAGTATACTCAATCGGATTTGGTTAAAAAATCTTCTTGAAGTACTGCTAATGTCAACATTATGTCACTCGTCGATTGGACGGACGAGATGCAATTTTAGATTTTTAAAAGTGGCAGCACTGATGCTACGTTGCATTCATGAATTGCAAGACGAAGGGGAGACCAGGAATTATCAGGTGACTAACAATATTGAAGATTTTATGAGTCGTGTGGTAACTGAAAACACCGAAACTTGTGGAAAAGCTTCGTAGTCAATGTATTTACCTTAGCGAATGAAATGAAAGGATATAAAATGCAATTTGACTGAAGGTGTCCAAATTTATACGAATGATCAGTCCAGTCAAGTAGATAATGAAACAAGTTCGTCGGATAATCATCAAAAAGACTCAATTCACTGACTGCAACGGATTATACGATGGTGATATGAATACCTCATTTCTTTGTGAATTTACCTTTGAAAACTATAGCCACTGACATTAATGTCTGAGTGCTTCACTAAGAATGGCAACCAAAATGCACAGTAATGATAATCCTCTACTGTATCTAACAAGCACATATTTATATGCTCTGTTCGTTTAGTACTTGCGTAGAGTTAAACAATAGGAGCCACCTGTTCGCCCATAAAAATCCTCATTAAAAGTCATACTTTGACTTATGCCGACAATTTTTGAAATTATATGACTGCTAGATTGGTATTGATTGAAGTTGATAAAAATACAATTAGTCAACTGTCGAATTACAACTTTCTAGATGAACCTAATCTACTAAATATCCGGATAATATCATGCGAGAAGTGGGGATGGATTAAAAGGTTAATGCAAAAGGAAGTTTGAATTGAAGGCTCTTCAATGATGGTAATACATATCAGTCGACTACGGTATGAACTGCAAGTGATTTTGCAATAAATCATATCAATAAGAATGACTCCAAAAAACACTGAATGACAATTCTTATGAAGTACATCTGTTTTCATCACGCTGCTACTAAAAGTTCGATACGATGCAATCTTGCCTCATTTTTACGACATATTTCATCGCACAACGTTGTGAGTTCTTTCAAAAGTCGGAGCACATCAAAGAACACAATTGTATAAACATTTTGTTTCTGCATAAGCATTTCGCCGAATAAAATTAATCAGAAACAATGTTCTCTATTTTTTTACATTTCAAAAACCAGAAAGCATTCTATATTTTTTCTCCAGCCCTGGTCATTATTTTCTTTGAGTCACCAATAATTTCTCTAGCTTTATTTATGCTCGAAACCAGAAAAAAAACAAGAAAGTGTTTAAGAAATTTTTTCACCCTCATTTCATTCAGTCCATTGCTACACTAACTCACTGTCAAATTTGTGGTGAGGTCTCTTCAGATTTGACATATCCTAAATATTGATAACGACTTTGACAACATTCGAATCAATTTTACTTTAATATCACTTTATTGCCCAAAATTCCTGAAATTATCAGGATTTCTGATTAGATAAAATGAAGTAAATATATCAATTTTTCATAGATCGTATCGTCGATAAAGCATTTGCTACTGTGCGTTCTCACTACAGGACGCATTCCTTAATGGCACGCATTCGTTGGCGTGGCACACTCCAACAGCCCCAATCATCCGTCATCGCATTCACACTAGTGTTTGCGAGAGATGCATGGATCCCGACTTCTGAATACCGATCTGATGCTGTGATTTATGTTCTCAAAAATCCTGCGATCTCGGGATTAGATAAACTACGACATTTTATATAATTATGGTAATGTACTCATCTTGAATTATAGATCAGTCATTCTGAGCTCATTCTTATTCAGTAATATTTGTTGTTTACCACCAAGTGGCAATAAATGTCAAAATAATTACATATTAGCGCCAGCTCGGCTTCCGTTTTCACAAAACCGTGATCAGTAATTTCGTCACATCATCACTCTTACTTCATTTTTCATCATCGCCGTTGCTTTGTCTTCCATTCACGGTCGTTTTTATTCTCGGGATTGAAAACGGTCCCAGCATTCAATCCTCACCCTCGGATTGGACAACAGTTGGGATTTTGCAAACCCTAGCAGCTCTCATTGTGAAAGTCGCTCAGTTGCGAACAATAGCCATGCTCACAACTGCCTCAGTCAGCCTGGAAGAATCACTATAGAAATTTGGTATCGTGACTGAATGCTTACAAACGGTAATCTTTTCTGTATTAAACAGGAAGTGTGATTCATAAATTCGCATAATGCACATCTAACCAACCTACCACTGTACATTTACAAAACGACATTGTGAAATCGACATAGTGAGAGATGCGTTTGTGTGTTTATGTGGATATTTAATGTAAATTAGGAAAGCGAGGTGATGCATTCTAATACAATCGGATTTGAATGAGCGTTGTTAGGTGAAACGTAATCGAAGGTCAGTATAAAATATGATCTGCTGTCATCATACTGGGATGTGCGCCTGTTTATACATGCATCGTCGCAGAAAAAATGATAGCACATGAGTGACTGACATTCGCAGAGGCATGTATGCATTGGAAGATATCTTAAGAAGTGAAGAGATGGGAGTTTACGTGTTGTTTGTTCGGTGAGTTGTTCGAATAAACTATAGCCGAGGTGAACTGAGCTGGTTTATCTGTTTATGGTTTTGTGCATGTCTGCCTCATCGTCAGTCCATCACTGAACTGATACGACGTTTACAGGCTGAAGAACATGGACGGCCTCTAAACGCTAATGAAGGCAATTTTACCGAAGCACTTGCTGATTCATTTCGTATGTACATCCGATTAAGTGCTATATATTAAACAATTAATAGGATATATAAATATTCTGCTTGAACATGTGCCTTCGTATTGCATTGGCTGAAGTAGTTTGAAATTCGAAAGTTCTACCCCGTATATGCACATCGATTTCAACTATTTCAATCATTCAAACAATTGTTTTCCGTCCATCCTTTACATGCATCATCACGTATCAAGATTTTGTATTCCTTTTATCTCATTTATTTTCGTAATTCAAATTATTGAATTGATTTGTGTATTTGTTTACCAAATGAATGAATTGTTTCATTAAAGTAAACTATTTGAAAATTTCTAATATCCGTAAAATACAAATATTTAATGAATTGCTCAACGCAGTTATATCATGTGAATTATATAGATTTCTGACAAATATAATACAGTGATGTTTCCTATTCACACGCTCACGTTTTCCTGGGAACTTCCAGCTCGTCTCATCTATTGATGATTTTGTGAACATTTAAAATTTTGGTCGCCGAATATGTAGCTGTGAGTTTAAATAATTCAATAGGCCTGCAGCAATTTTACATTTGATTTCATTTTAGTTTGATTTGTGTATTTGTTTAAAACCATTGAGACTCATATAACATGAATTTCCACTCAGTTTAATTTTTAAATAACGTATTCATTTCATTATTTTCCTAACTCTTTGGAGATAATTTAAAACGTTTCAGACTCTTCTCCTGCAGGAATATTAATAAACTCCAAAGAGGGTATATGGAATCTCTGAAGAGTGTGTATGAAAATGAATTAACTATTCCTTTGACAAACATGAAACAGATCAATGGTATTATGAATACCATGAAAAATCCAAAAAAAAATCAAATAGAATAACTGGGTTATAGACAAGTATTTGAGTGTGTTTTTGTGTTCAGATGTATTTGTGCTTTTTACGTGTGTTAATTCATCTATGTATGGATCGAATTTCATAAACTTTCATCTGAAATCCATTTTGCACTTTCAAATAATATTCCTTTGTGAACTATCCAGTCGAGTCCACTGCATTACTCTTCACTACCTGCGAAAATAACATTATCGTGAATAACATGCACCAATCGCACACTATATGGAAATTTTCAGAAAAATCACTTCTAAGCACTGAAAAATCCTGAATTTGACCCATTATCATGAGAATATTCCTCAACCAATATTCCTCTTTATATACTTTCACTGCATTTTCATCCTTCGATCTCCACATGCATATCTGTATGTGTTCATCGCTTCCTATCCGACGATGTCTCCGTCTTTCTCATCAACTTAACCGCTCATCTCAATCGTCATTTCCCTATCTTCTTTAAACTGACTGAGATCACAACTTTATTTATCACATATAATGGAGAACTTGCAGTTACAAACAGGTCTGAAAAAACTGGCCTTATCATACTCCGAAATAAACGAGCAGCTGTTTGGTACAAATAGTAAAATGTTTTTAGCCGCTGACCATACTCTAAGAGGGTTTTTGCAATCTTCTGACAATCTCCGATTTTGTTCCAGGAACAGGTCTATCTCACAGTCCATAAATCTGAAGCACTCAAACTGATCGTAACTTGTCCATTTACTCATGCACAAATTCCAGTTTAGCATATCTGAACGCATACGTGATTTGAGCGTTTGCACATTTTCGTACATAAATGACTCATAATAGTGTCATGGTACTGCACGTACCATCGTTATTTGGATACCATATTTCCTACATATATTCTCGTGCTCTTTAAACCAACTAAATTTTCACATCCACTTTGATTGCTCTATTCCATTCAACAATCACAACTGCTCATCACGAGCGTAGCCTCACGGTTATCGCGAAATATTATTTCGTCATCATCGTTACCATACATCTGCATCTTGAAAAATCATCACATTTCTTGTTGGATTTAATCATATTTCGGCATTTCTCAACAAATCTAAACGTTAAACGCCAACGATTAAAAAAATTCGAAAAAAATTATTCAATGTGATAAGAGAAATATTCGTTATAAATATTTCAAATAAACGTTTTATTTGGATCGTCGAATGTTGTTGTAAATTTGTAGTGAATCATCACTCTCGCTATAGCTCACTTGCTGGCTTGTTTCATTAATAGAGAGGCAGTAATTCGTGGCAGTCGATCGGCGCGGTCTGGCCAGGCTCGGCTCGACTCATCTCGTCTCCAACCGCCTGACCTAAGCTAGCGACCGACCCTTAACCATCATCATCGTTTCAGTCGTATTTATTTTGCCACTACGTTTGCAGTTATTCGCTTCTCCACCAAATGTTTAGCAGCTGTGCGTTTGTCCGTGTTTATATAATGTGAACGAGAAGAAGAAGAAGCACGAGAAGAAGCTAATTCACTACAATTGAGCCACCATAAAGCAACGTTCATAACGATGCATTGATCGTTCACTGATATTTCTATATGCTACATCATATTCCGTTATTTGTGTTTAATATTCTTCTTGTTTTTAATAATATTTCTGTTTGAAAAATATAATCATTGTTTATTATTCATTCGTTTATCTGTTTACCTCTTTACTTATGTGCATATTTATATGCAAATTCGTCATATCATTCATCACTATTTACGCTAAATTTTTGTCGATAGAAATGCTTGCATCATCATCCAAAACTGCTTCCGTTCAAGCTGAAATTTTCGTTGCTCAATAAACTACCTTCGAATTCTTAATTTCCATCATCACACTTCTTTATCTATCATTTCTCATTTTATAAGCTCATAGACGTTACTGAGTTTGATAAAATCAAACAAATTGGATCAGTGACTGACTCTTCACATAATTTTCAGCTCTTATCAATCCATGTGGTTATCAAAAGGATGTCACGAATGATCACAATGCCGTTCTGTAGCAGTGCTGAAGTAACATTTTGATATTCGTACCTTGAGATCGCTCTAATTTTCATGTGATTTGCGTCTCTTCAACAATCCGCCCGCTGTATTTGAGGTGAGTAAAGCTTAGAGTGTTAACCAAACGATATGCTTACCTTGATATGCAACGAATATGTGTAAATTTCGAATGCTTAGCAAAAGTGAGTAATATGTGAGTTGTATTTTGTAAGCCAACGATTATCGTTTCAGTGAAATCTAGTAGTGTACAAGTCTGTAGATTCCATAGTTATCAGAGACATTGTGTTTAAAACGGAATTGCTTTCAGAGGATGTGTAAGTGGTCATTGGTAATAATAGAACAATATCGTTTACGCTTTACTCAATAACCTCTAGAACTGGGGTCGGCAACTCCCGGCCCGCGGACCAAAACTGGCCCACCGACAATATTTTTTGGCCGAATTTGAGAATTTGATTCTAAAGGGGTGAAAGACGAAATGAAAAAAGTTTTAAAAT